TATCTTTATTATAACTATTATGAAACAAACCTATCTATCTAATATAAGCAATATCAATTTAAAACGATCTATCTAAAATTTGAAATTCTTACAATTATTAAATTATTAACAAAATTTGGTACCTTCTTTCACTGAATGCCTAAAGTTTTTTCCAAAATTAAAGTTATTATCACCACTCGATATCTTCTTACTAAGCCTTGGTTATCCAACTATTTTAATATGTTCCTTCTTAATTATCTCCACTCACCATATAAATATATATTTAACTCCTTGTAATTTCCACATAATGTACTTTGAAATATACTGGATCTTGTGGTTGTATTATTGAATGCTTATTTCAATGAATTAACTTCAAATTGTCACTATATTACTGTAGTAATAATTAATCTCCAACTGTATTTAACTTAATAATTCATTTAACTTAATGAATGCCTTCTTCTAGCATTGAATAATCTCTTCATAACCTCATAAATCACTGACTTAATAATCCTTGAATTGTTATAACTAACTCCTCAATAATAATCTTGTAACTGATTTAATATCTTCTATCTAACTCAATTAACTCAATTATTAATCTTCTTGTAACTAAATTCTTGAATTATAACTTTACTAACTGATAACTGATCATACTGATAACTGATTAAACTGGTAACTGACTAAACTCTAACTGACTCTGAACTGCCTTGAACTAAACTCTAACTCATAACTGACTGACTAAACTCTAACTCATAACTGACTCCTTTGACCAAATTACATGGCCTATATATATATATAATATATATATATATATATATATATATATATATATATATATATATCTTTTTTCTTTCCAGAATATTCCAGCAATAAATAATGTTCGAATCATTCTATTTGTTTCTATTTGAAAATTCTGGAATGATTTCCTGTCTGTGATGTACTATGTATACAGTCCCCTTGACATTTCGAGAATTTTCTATGAACAATTTACTTGACTTTAGGCTCTCCAGATCAGAACTACACTATTATAATATAATAATGATCCCGTGATCACTGCACGGATATAGTTGTGTACAGTAGTCCAACCTGCTTTATTTTCAATCATTCTCTCAATCATTTCTCTCATTGTAATAAAATTCACACCTATCTCTCTTTTTATTCTATTTTATGTTTGTTCTGTTCTGTGTTAATTTCTGTCTAGTGTACCATAACCACCCAGTACAGTTTTTGATGGTTCTGTTTTTTGTCCAATTTTTGCATTGAGGTCTCCGTTTACAATAGTGAATTGTGTTGCATTATTATCCAATGGTTTGGATAGGTTATTATAAAATTAGTCAGTTTCTTCTTTATTATGAGAATCATCCAAGTACACTTGGATGATTTTAATCGAACAGCGTAAACTTAAACTTAAAATGATACATGCCACTATGCCACTGTACTGGAATATTCACAAAGACCCCCACTCCTTCAATGGATTCTCCTTCTGTGCTAATGTGGTAAAAAGTGTGTCCTGATCTAAGGACTTGTAATTGTTTGTCGTTTCATATTACTCCGCACATTCCAACTACGTCTAATTTATTGGTTTCCAGTGCATTTTTCTTTTCAATCAATCGTTTTCTGATAGTATAGATCTGGCATAATAAGCGTTTTTTTTGGGTGATTTGATTAAAGATACCCAATATCCTATTCTATAATTATCTTATCTAGACTAGACGATTTTAAGTATAGTTTTAACAAACCTGTGACCTTGTTCAAAGTTTACATTCAAAAGTTTTTGTAGCTGATAACGTAAATATTATTCTAAACAAATAATAATGATGCTTTATATAAAAAAACTTGTATTAGAATTATAATTAAATTTTTTATTTCAAAGGTTCACTGTCCACAGACCACATATGCTTTGTGGAATAAAACCACTACCAGGTTACAGACCATATGTGGTCTGTTCTTCGATACAATTTTCAGGTTGTTTATAATAATGGATGTATGGAGAATTGCCTTTATTAGACGTGAACATATCCCATGTATTATAAATAGTGTTGGGATAAAGAGTCATCATCATCATCATCATCCAGCCTCAAGAGTCCACTGCTGAACATAGGCCTCTTTCTCATGTTTCCAACCCCGTCTATCTTGCGCCGCTCTTATTAAGTTTTTATTGAATCTTCTTAAATCGTCAGTCCATCTTGTAGGTGGTCGACCGACGCTTCTCTTGTCTTCCCTTGGTCTCCATTCCAATAACCTCTTTGTCCATCGCCCATCTGTCATTCTGGCTATGTGTCCTGCCCATCTCCACTTTAGTCTGGCTATCTTCTCGATGATGTCAGTCACTCCGGTTCTTCTCCTGATGTCTTCGTTTGTTATTCTGTCTCGGACAGTTATTCCTAACATGGACCGCTCCATTCTTCTCTGCGTGACTCTCAGTTTGGTAGCTGCTACTTTTGTTAAGGTAAGTGTTTCTGCTCCGTACGTCAAGACTGGGAGGACGCACGGATCAAATACCTTTCTCTTTATGCATGTGGGCAGCTCACTTTTAAAAGTTTCTCTCAGTTTTCCAAATGCTGCCCACCCAAGGCCGACTCTTCTCTTCAGTTCATAAGTCTGGTTATCTCTGCCAATCATAATTTCATGTCCCAGGTATTTTATATCTATCTACGAGTTCTATTTCTTTCCCACCAATACTGATGTTCTGGTTGGGCACCAAATTGGCCATGATTTTTGTTTTCGAGATATTTATATTTAAACCTACATTTTCTGTAGCCACAACGAGTTCCTGTATCATCTCTCTTGCCATACCTAGATCTTCAGCTATTATAAGTATATTATCGGCGAAACGTAAGTTGTTTAAATATTCTCCATCTATTTTTACTCCCTTTGTCATTCAATCCAAATTCTTAAAAGCATGTTCTAGCACGTATTAAAAAGTTTAGGTGACATTGGGTCTCCTTGTCTAACCCCCCGTTCTATTTTTATGCGATTACTGTTAGTATGTAATTTGACAGTGGTTGTTGCCTGCAGGTATATTTTGTATAATAATAAAGAGTATAGGGATAAAGAGTAAAAATGTGCAATTTTATCGTAATTGCCTTAATCGAAACTAAACAACTATGTTTTATTGCGTTTTCACTTTTAGCGAACTAAATAATGGATATGTAAGATAAAATAATGTACAAGATAATGAAAAATAAATATTTATTGAAAAAAAAAGTATCGAAAAAAAGTTACATGTTCAATGTACTTTTTGGAAACATTGTAGACAATACGGTTTGGTACAGATGTTGCATATTTGTGAAACTCTTTTGGCTTTATTAGTGGCAGCTGCTGATGTTTCTCCTTTTTGACGAAATTTAGCATCCGGTACACCTACGTCTAGTAATTTTTCCGTTTTTTCTATCCAGCGGTTTAAGAAAATGCTGTACTTGTGACCATTGTGGGCGTAGGTATGGCAGGTGTCTGGACAACGTTTATACCCAAAAGATTTTTCACAATACTCATTTCGATCTGCAATATTGTACATTTATTTTGCTGGTTCAATTTATTGTAAATAACCCATTTAAAATAAACTGTATTTATGATACCCACTCCAAACAGGATATATGATACCAGGTCAAGGTCTTGCGAATTGGTGAATAGTAGTTAACCAATTCGTCAGAAAGATCGATACTTTTTCTTGATTACTGTATTGCAATATCATATTAGGCTTTGAGCGCGGATTTCGACCTGTACTCATCGTTTTTTCATCTGCGTGACAAGTAGATATCTTAAGGAAGTCCCTCTTGTTCTTCCATTTTAAGACCATCACATTATTTTTTTGTGCAGCAATTTGATCTCCTTGCTTCAGTTTCTTGTTTTTGACCAATAAAGGTAAGTTTTTACAATTTTTTCTCAATATCCCACAAAGGTTTGTTTCGCGTTGAAGCAAGTATTTAGCTAATGGAACACTGGTATACCAATTATCTGCAACAATCATTTTCCTCTCGTCTAAAAGTTCTTAACAAAGCTCGAGAATAATTACGCTTCCAGGTTTAACAAGATTAGAGATTTGAGGATCTTTTCCAGAATAGACTTTATGTTTCCAAACATATCCAACATCAGTTGTGGCTTTGTACTTCTTTAGTCCATACTTGTGAGTTTTGTTTGGATTATACTGATGAATCAGCAATGGAACCTGGAAAAGGAACCATGTATTGGTCCACAACAACGTGACAGATTACAAACCTTTTGGCGAAAGAAACTTTCTGCAGTTTCTTATTACAATGTCTATAACTGATTATCTCGTATAATTAAATGGTCCGGTGACAAACCATCATGAATAAAATCGGGATCTGCTACACTGTCATCATCGTTAAAATTACTACGGTCGTCGGTTACATTTTCTTCATCCGACGTATTTCACTGACTATATTGTTCGTTATTACTCTCTTCTAACATTCTTCAAAACTCTTCTTCCATATAGCCTCGTCTCTTACTCATATTACCGCAACAATTTCTATTTACAAAAAGCACAAAAAATATATGTTCAATTTTTTCACATGCGAAACATCATGTAATTTTTTCGCTGTGTTATTAACTACCATTCTACCATAATTTTAAAATTATTTCCCATTCTTCAGCCCTTCCTACTCACATTTTAACCCCACTCCGTTAGAAATACAGACAGTTTAAAATAGGAAACAAGAAGACGATCTCTTGCCTGTTACCTATCGCTTGGTACAAACGTACTTCTCTTGCCTCTTATTTTTAGTAACAGAGGTATCTGCTCTACAGTTGACTGCCGCTAACAACAGACATTTTCTCTCTCACTCGCTTTTGGTTACTCGAAAAATACCGCAAATACTGTTTAAATCGTGTACAGACGTAAAATGTGCTCTATCTCGTGATCTCAGTGTTAGTACCGCGAGATACGTGTTCAAAAACCGATAACTCACACAGCCTTCCCAACAGCTTTCTCAACTGGGATTATGAGCAATTTCCACTGTAAAACCTGTACAGTGAACCTGTTAATTATTATTAAAACATTTTTTTTGAAAAAATAATTTTTTAATACCAAATATTTGATTTAACATTTAAACATTTTGGAACTATTATTTTTAACTATTTGGGATTAGTTTCTCCACAAACTTCTGGTTTATTATCCTTAAGTAACCCACAAACGGTAGATATAAGGTCTTCATTCGCCTGTGTTTCTAGGTTTCTATCATAAACACCATTAAATCTTATATTTGGTATCCACGGTAATGGAGGATTAAGCTTTGATTGTCTGTCTTCATATGATAATAAGATTTCAGTTCCACGATCGCCTTTATAACAACCATAAACCTTGTCCCAGGAAACGCTACTTGGTAAATACTACAAAAAAGTTAATATTAATAATAATAAAATAATAGTAAAACTGGTAAAAGTCTACTAACTGTAACTGGCAACTTGCTGTAGATTAGATGGTAAAAGTAGATAAGGTCAAAGTCGTGGGTCCGTCGATATAGCATTTGACCTTGCATAGCAAGCTTTCCCAAATGTTATTGTTCCAATTTATAAAGGGGGTCAAAGGTAGTGTAAATTTAAAATCGCGTCTGAATTCCGCCGTTGCGTTAACCGCCATCTTGGATTTAAAGGAGAACCGTTTTTGCCAAATATCTCAGCCATTTTCAACTTTTAGACAAAAAAGAAAGGGGTTAAATGTTACAAGTGTGATTTCCTACAATTTTTTTTTACAATTTTTTCGGTGCAGTCGAAGTTCCGGGGAAGCATAATTATTGAATTATTTTGTTTATTTTTCCCCACAACTCAAAAAATATCGACCGCACGAAAAAAATTGCACAAAAGAAATTGTAGAAAATCGCAATCATTGAAAAATGAAAGGAATTAAAATTGTATAAAATATAATTTTCTTTTTTTGTGCTTTTGTACATTTATGTCGTAAAGTTCATAATAAACGAGATAATTCGATAATTATTATGCCCCACCTTGTAATGGGATTTAATTAAGCATCCAGAAATCAGATCTAAGTAACCCAATTATGTTTAAAAATATAAAATCGTTTTAATAATAATATTCAATGCGTATTGTTCAATGCGATTGTTTGTGTTTGTTTATGTCATTAAAAATATTGGTGTAACTAGAACACGCGCTGACCGTGCTGAAATTTGCAATTTAATCAAAAGATTATTCAATAAAGTGTACAAATTATACTAGAAAAATATAAACGCACAAACAAACGCACATAAGTTAAATACCCAGAAAATAATGTAGAGTAGATTATTCAAAATTAAAAATTAAAAGTAAACAGTCGAAGCTAGTGTTGTCATCCGTCAACTGGGTACCCTCTCTATTATTGTACTTAGAGAACCCATAAAGTAATTATGAGTATCCAGTGAGTTCAAGTTAATCAACTACATGCCGGGGATGAACTACCCCTAGAGTTACACTATATGGAGCTCTTGATAAAAGCAATATAATAAACATTATATGATTATCCAACATTATTACACCTCCTTCCACTATTTGCCCCTTAACTCGAGAAATATCGATGCACGAAAAAATTTATAAAAAAAAGTAGGAAATTGCATTTGCAACATCAGCTCCTACCATTTTTGTCGAAAAGTTGAATGTGGCAAAGATATTGAGCAAAAATTGTTTTTATTAAACTCAAGACGGTTGGATTTAGTTGCGATTTTACACTTACACTACTATTAAACCCCCATAAAGTTTAGAATAATAAAATTTGAGGTTATAGACATATATTGTCACAACTGATGCCAAGAAGTCCCTGCATCTTTTTCTAATGGGCCAGGTTTATCGACCACATGACCTTTTCATTGTGTAATTTCACTTAATAAAAAAAACCGACCCATTAAAAAGAAATGAAGGGATTGTTTTGCGTCAGTTTTTTCTGTCGCACTGGTGGAACGACGCCGTACTGCAACGCTCAGTCTATTTGTATTATCAGTACGAAAATCTTTCAGCTAGACATAGGAAATATACATTGAGGTAACTGTGGCAACTACGCTTTCACGAGTCTATGCCTATATCCCACAACACTTAAGGCTTATCCTCGAAAATTGTAACGGTAAAATTCAGAGAGATATCTATTTCAAAAATATCTTTCTTTACAAAAACAAAATCCATTCACGAAGAATATTCTAAACGTCATCTTGTACTACAGGTTAGCTTTATACCTACCTTATACAACCCCCTATTGTGTAAAGTCTTGGGTCTATACAATAAACGAGTGGGCGGCCCTCTATTCAGTGCGGTTTTGAAATAATGTTGAATTAAAACATTCATGAAATTAAAATGAAAGAATTTACGTCTATTAGTAGAAGTGCGATTTATAAAATTAGTACTTGAAGCATAAATCGCGGGAGGAATATGTGCATCAGTGTTCAAATATTTATTATTTACTATATAATTTCTAAATTGAACCACTTTCACTTCTTTAGTTAACAATGTATCTGTTTTGACAACTAAATAGGTAATTAGACAAAATAATTATTAATTTCAAAACAGGAGTTTAAAGAATTAGAAAGAGGTAGCCTGGGCCCAGTTAAATGGTCAAGCTTATTCCAGTGGAAGCAATAAGGAGGATTATTTTTCGTTTTGGCACAGCTGACATGCTCTCTCTAGCACTACAAGTTCATGGTATTTACAAAAGCACAAAGCATCAAAGTTAAGCTAGTACTAGATAATACAGAAATTGAACAAATATCTTTGTACAAATACCTTGGAGCATGGATCACATTAGACAAAAGAAATAAGACGCCGCATTGGAATTGCACGGTCAACTTTTAATAGAATGAGAAAACTTTTTTGTAATCCAGATATCAATATATCGCTCCAGATAAGAATGCTTTGATGTTATATTTACCCTTTTATATGGGATTCAAGCTTGGTCACTTAAAAAATCCAACATTAAAAACCTAGAAGCATTCAAAATGTGGTGCTACCGACGTGTTTTGAAAATATCATGGATGGATCGCAAAACAACCGAACAAGTTCTCGAACAACTAGGAAAACAATGCGAAGTTTTAAATTCCATAAAAATCAGGAAATTAGAATACTTGGGGCACATCATACATCACACATCAAGACGTAAAATCTAGTGGTTACGCAATCTCCGTGAATGGTTTGGATGCAATTCAACTGAACTATTCAGGCGCATATCCAACAAAATGATAATTGCCAGAAAGATTTTCAATCTCCGATAGGAGTGGAACTTGAAGAAGAAGAATAAGTACATTATTATTATATCATATATATATATATATATATATTATATATATTATATATATATTATATATATATATATATATATATAGTGAAAAGGAGATAATACTGGGATAATACTATCATCCTTTTGGTTATATATATATATATGCGTACCTCGGAGGTAAAGGACACTATGTCCATTTTTATCGAAATTTAGATTATTGCACTTTTGAATATAACTTTTCTGGCTCTACACATCGGTAAACCATACTATGTCCAGAGACAATTTTACGGCAAGTTACCGACTTTTTAATAAACACCAAGTCCACTTCCAGTCAGAGGTAAACAACACCATGTGGACTTGGTGTTGTTTACCTCTAGTAAATGTGTGCATTGTCCTTTACCATTAGGACATAGTGTTATGTACCCTTGTACCTGGCGGAATTATCATGATCTAAAATCATTGCAACCTTTTTATTTAGATCGCAATTGTGTTAGGTTGATAAAAGTTGTACAATAAGTTCGTTGTTTAATAATTGTAAAATGGATCCGAACTCTCGTGGAAAAATAATATTACAATTACTGTCATGTAATATTCCAAATAAAACAACACTTACAGGTAAGCTATTGTTTTTAACACTAATTTTGTATTTTTCTAACCTCAAATATTTAGTATTGTATATTATTTTGTATAGGGCTCAGAATTTCAAACTGTACATACATTTTTCTATTTACCGTTAAAATAGAAGTATCAGTTAGTATGTTCTTGTTACTAGTAAAGAATTTCGTCTGTTTTTTTAAATGACCATAATATGGTATGATTGTTGTCAGTTATTTATGTAACATGCATTGCCATTTATATTATTGTGTTGTAGGCATAGACAGGAATTTACCAAGCAATTATCAATATATACTCGTATGAACAAAATACTACAAGAGATTTGGATAAAATTTATTTACCGTTAGGCGTAACCGGTACCCCAAAAATTATTGTTGTTGTTGATACCAACAGATTAGGGTAAACAGATGTTGCCAGATCTATATTTTTTTAATGGAAGTAACGGAAATTGTTCAGTAAATTCCGGTCTTTGGTTATAATGATTATTTTTGTGTTGGCCAATTATAGGCCTATAAAATTAGTCTATAATTATTATTACAAGGCTGGATTTGTTTCAGAACCACCTGGTCATTACAGTAACTTCCATAAGGAAGTGTACGAAGATGATAATTTGTTTGGAGATGATAATTCGGATATTGATATAACCTATGAGCCTCTAAACGCAGAATCAGACGACAATGATATGAGACGTATATAAGCAAACCAGCGAAAACATAGATAAAAGAGAAAGCTATTATTACTCCTACGACTAGTGTGGCAATAACAAAAAATCTTCTTAAGGACGATTTATTCCTAAGCAGTGATGCAGGCAATTCCAATGAACATAATGAAGTTATTTTAGAAGAAGAGAAAAGTGTTAAAAGAAAGGTACAAAATGTAACTAAGTGCAAACAAAAAGACAAAAAAACGTGTAGTAAATGAACAAAATTGGGTCTGTAATGTTCGCAAATCAAAAATAGCTGGTGGGAAAGACTATCTCAGTAAAAAAGGCAAAAACATGCCTGCAAAAATGTTAAAGCTTCCTTGCATGTGTCGCATGAAATGCTCTAAAAGATTGTCAGAATACGAAAGACAAAAAATTTTCAACTCATACTGGACTGAGACAAACGTTTCAGATGTTAAAAAGCAATTTATCTTCTCATGTGTCGACATCCAACCTACTCTTCGATTAACAAAAAAAGACCTAAATTCTACCAAATCTAAAAATAATACACTACACTACCTTTTTACAGTGAACAATCAGCGATTGAGGGTGTGCAAGGTTATTTTTTTAAACACACTTTGTATATCTAATTTAGTAGTAGTAAATATGTTGAAAAAAATTGAGCTAGGAGGTTTAATAAAAGCTGATCAAAGAGGTAGACACACGCTAATCAATAAAACTCCTACCGAAACCATAAATAGAATACATCAACATATTAAATCATTCCCAAAGTGCGAGATTTATTATTCCAGAGAAAGGAGTAAGAGAGATTATCTTGGCACAGAACTTACGATAGAAAAGTTGTATCAACTGTACTTTGATGAATGCAATGAAATACATGTAGATCCAAAGCTCAGAGTAAAAAAGTAATTCGACGCAGATATTTTTAATAAAGATTTCCAAGTTTTCGTTTGAAAACTTGGAAACCCGAAATAGACACTTGAGATACATGCAGTACATTCACAGCTCAATTGAAAAATAATCTTACTGCAGATGAACTAACCAGTGTACAGGCTAATCATGATACTCACCTAATTGAATTTAAAACTCGGTATAACTTACAACAATTGGACTTTTTAATGGCTAAAGAGTCACCATAACACAAAGTACTATCTGGTGATTTGTAAAAATGTTTGCTTTCACAATTGTATTAGTTTCTACAAAAGGAAGCTTTTGTAGAAGCAGTGATTCTTCTGTACAATGTATGATGTGGGACGAATCGAAAGGGTTCCGAGGTGCAAATGAAATTGCCTCGTGAATTTTGAAATGGACTGACAATACAATTCCAGGTAGTCAAGTAAAGGACATCACTCTTTGGACCGATAACTGCTATGAACAAAATAAAAATATAAGTGTTATAATGTGCTATTTTTGGATACTGCGTACATACCCTCAAATAAAGACGATCACTCAAAAGTTTTTACTGAAAGGGCACACACATATGGAAGCAGACAGTGTTTATGCTTTAATCGAGAGAAACAAAAAGAAACTCTCCAATTTGGCCATTTTAACGCCATGGAACTGGCAACAGCTAATTAGCCAAACATCAGGTAAATACACAGTGCACAATATGGAACTTGCAGATTTTAAAAACTTCAAAACGCTGTTCGATAAGAAATTGTCACTTAATCATCCTTTTGTAAGTAGAAAAAAGAATGTTAATGAAGATCCTGTTCTACTGTCAACATGTGTTGACTCCTACAAGTCCAACAAGAACACATTGGGAAGCTCTTTTATAAGACCGATTTCAATAATCAAAATATGTATGAAGTGCACTTCATGAGGTATCGAAGACAGCAATTAACGTTTCCAGCTCAATTAAATCAAGTCTCAGTAAACGCATTACCAATCAGAAAACAAAAGTTTAATGACTTCATTACCTTACTGCCTTTTTCCGTCAGTTTGTCATGCACTTTATCAAAATTTAACACATAGCGATGTAGCCACAAACGATTACAAACAAGAAGATGAAGATGATATGGAGCCTCTTTAACAATTTTGAAACTTGTCGTCTATAATTTTACTTTATTTAACTTTTCTTCATTTAATTATTATAACATTATAATATTTACCTCTAATAAAATAATAGTATAGGCTGTTTAGTGTATTTCTATTGTTTATTTCGTAGAGACCTTAACATGCAATGTCACATTATTTAAAAAAGTTATTAGAGGTAAACAACACTATGTCCAACTACACATTTAAAAAATATATATAAAATGAACGGTAAACTTCAGGTACATAACACTTCATGGAAGGAAAAACGATTATACACACCACAATAATAATATATTAATCTTGGTTAAATATAAGAAACATTTGAGTATTTACTGATTAAAAATTTAAAAAATGTTAAAACTGCTCTCCTGAAAAAGTAAGAAAAATGGACATAGTGTCCTTTACCTCCGAGGTACGGATATATATATATATATAATATATATATAAATATATAATATATATATATATATATATATTTATATAATATATGATATAACACGATATTGAAAGAGGTTACAACATAGACAATCAACAAAATCTACATCGACAACTACACAGTGAACAGCCAGCAATAAATAGAGGTGTCAAATGCCGTCCTAAAACTCAAAGACAATAAAGCCACAGGAATCGATTAAATCTGTTGGAAAATATATAAAAAAAGGTGATGATCAACTTTTTGCAGTAACCCATAAACTAATAGTACTTAAATGGCAAAATGAATTTGTACCAAAGAGTGGCTAAATGAAATAATATACGTTGCATAAAAAGGACGATTAACTGGATTGTAAGAACTATAGAGGCATTACTCTGTTTAGCATCTTCACCTGTTAGCACCCTGCTTGAGCAGGGTCACATATCAGATCAATTTACGGTTGCAAAAGGCTTGAGACAGGGAGATCCTTTATCCACTACATTATTCAACTTAGTAATAGAAACTGTAATCAGAAAATGCAGCATGATGATGGAAGAAACGATCATGAAAAATGAGCACCAGTGCTTGGCATTTGCTGATGATCTAACGATCCTAGCAAAAACCGAGTAAGAATTAAGAAGAGTTGTGAAGAAAATCATCGAAGAAGCACAGAAATTTGGATTGGAACTAAATGAAGACAAAACTAAATATATGATCATGGAAGGAACAGAAGGGAAAAAAGAAGACTTTAGTGTGAGGTCAGTAAGTGGTAAAAGCTATAGTTTTAAAAGGGTGGACAAATTTGAATACCGAGGTGTAGTTTTCGATGAAAATGGAAAAGAGAAATGGGAGCTCGTAGCCAGAATAGCAAAAGGGAATAAAAAATTAGGTGGTTTAAGAGCCCTACTGAACTCAAAATACATTTCTAGACAAGGTAAACTCGTAGACGAGGTAAAACAGTAATTCGACCCACAGTAACATATGCCGGTGAGCCTGGACAATAAACAAGAAGGAAGAGAATACTCTGGAAAGATGGGAAAGGAAAATATTGAGATGCATATTCAGAGGACGGAAGGCAGAAGATGGTTGGGAGAGAAGAACCAACAATGAATTAATGACTTTATACAAAGAACCTACTATTACCAAGTTCGTCAAGGCACAAAGAATCAGATGGTTGGGACACGTGGAAAGAAATGGCAGCAAACAGAATTCCTAAACTAGTAATAACAAGAGAATTAATCGCCCCAAAAGAAGAGGTAGACCCAGAACGAGGTGGATTAGTAAAAGCGGAGAAGGACCTTAAATACGTGAAGGTGAGGGAATGGAAAAAAGCACAAAATAGAAGCGAATGGAAAAATATTGTACACCAGGTCCTTCAGAGTAGTTAAGAATGTTATATATACATATTTAAGTTAAAGTTTTGTTTAAAATAATTGTAATTAGTTAATATTAGAATTATGTTGTAAAAAAAATGCTCTAGGCCTTAACGGCCTGTTGTGCGTAAAAAATAAATAAATAAATAATAGAGTGCAAAATGCGAAAGAGTCGCGTTTTTTGCATTAATTTGTTAATCATTAAAAAACGGCTCCGAAACTTTACGCAGGAAACAGGTAGTTTTCTTCTTATAGGTCTACAATAACTAAAAAAGTTGTCAGCTACCTGGATTATTGAGTGTCACGAGAAAATCCTTATTAGCCTGGACTAATATGGCTGGACAAGCAAGTGAAGAAACAAACTTCATATATTATGTAAACTTTACTAACAAAAACGTTGAAAATAAATATTCCTATAAATATAAAATAATCAAATTTATGTTACAAATCAACAGAAAATATTTCTATTCATATAAAAATTTAATCAAATTATAGGTACTTATTATAATAGGTACTGCTTATTTATATAAAATTTCCTCAATCTCAACATAAACGTCTTCGTGAACTACCCATTTTAAAAAACAATTAACACACTGGTTTGTCAAAAGGTTGTCAAAAGTCGAAATAAACCCTAATAATGTTATTCAACATTATTTATGACCCACCTTCGAGAGGTATTATACTTCTTACCTAACCAACCTAACCGTGTCGGCGAGAATCCAGAAACTATCGACAAGGACAGCCTGTAACTGGCCGAGAGAGAAAGTTACATTTAGCAAAATTTGAGATTTTAAAAAAAGTTTATACCAAATAGCTGCTTTGTGTTACACTTTATGTTAAAAATAAAAACAGATTCGGAAAGTGGGTCAAATTCTGTAGTGCCCTATTTCAAAAAAAAATTTTTACGTTTATTTTAACCAAAAATATTTGAAAAAAAAAAATATTGTTTAAACAATTTATTAATTTACAACCAAATAGTGCACTAGAACTTTTTAAGACCTTTCATATAAAAAAGGATCATCTCAAATCTGCCATAGTTTTTGCGTTATTTGATATAAACTTTTACATTGGAACTTAGGTATGCCCAGAAACGCAAGGAACGGCCTTAAGCGATAGCCTACAATTACTCTGACATTGACAACTGACAAAACAAACTGACAGAAATTAAAAAAAATGTCTAATACATGTAATACAATATTCGAATTGTACGAGGTGTAAATCAAATACGCTGTTTACTAATAAAACAATCAAAATAATATCGGTTCACAACATTTTTATAGCTCATCGTACATTTTAATGGATAATATGCGGTGTTCTTCAGTAAGCCAGCTGTAAACGTATCGTGAATTGTAAACAATTCACGATACGTTTTAGCAAATTATTCAAAAATATTAACAATTGATCTGAATTCGTAATTATTTATTCTTTATTAGTGGCGTCTCATACAAACATCTTAAAAGTTTTGCATTCAAATTTAAATTTATTTGAGACTTTTATTATTTCTAATTAAGGCAAATATCGAGCAAAAATTTAACAATCAAATCTTGCCCAAGTACTTTCGCTTTCTACAGCATCATCAGGGGCATTTCGTTAAATTTGGGCTATCCAGCAAGCGCAGAATGTAATAAACATGAAATTGGACATCAATTGTACATAACACTACATTAAAACAAGGACAAACAGTTTAAAATAATTAAAAATTATTAAAAATTATTATTAAAAATACGCTCTACATTTTTGTCGGCAACAGGAGAGAGAATGTTCCTCTCTCTCTTGTGACTATTTTCAGAAAAAAGGACAAGCACCATTATAAAAAAGGCATAGAAATATTATAGAACTGATAGGTAGGGTTGACTTTTGTCTAAAAGTTGTTTCAGTATTTAAACGAGAATTAAATAAGTATAAAAGACAATTAATAGTTGATGGTTTTGTGTTCTAATCATGAAATTCATTCTTTATATAATAAATTGAGGAAAATACTTACTTTTTTGGCCAATTCTAACACTTCTATCTCATCGAGATCATCGGAGTCGTCAGGTAAATGATGATATATAAAGTTAACAAACTCTAATGAGGGTAGCTTTTGATCAAGAACACACGCATGGACCCTGTTAATAACACATTCCTCAATTCCGTGCTGACAAGAAAATTTTACCTTTCCATCAGCATCACGCGAAGAATTCTATAAATAAGAAAAAACGGTTAGCAAGGCATGTAATAATGCTAAATAAATGCAAAAATGTACTACGTAAATTATATTCTAATTAAACAAAATGGTTACTATTCGGTGTACTATAAATGCAATCTTTTGTTATTTTAATTTTTTTTCTATAATATATCATAGATCTATAACTTGCTTGCACCTGTCATTCTTTTCGTAGTTGTGCTTTCGCCGCTTATGACGTTAAGTTTTATATTTGTTCTTAGGTTATTTCGTATAAATAGAGTACTGTTCCTCAAACTAAACTGCGCCTTCGACCAAGCCTAGCATGAAAGACTGGCGAAGAAACTACTGAACATTTCTATTTGCTAGACTCATTCGTTCATTATGTCACTCAGCGCAAAATCATGGTTAAGGTCAAAAGTCATTTCTCTACCCCTTCACTCCAACCGATCGAGTACTTAGGTGTGATGTTCACAAATAAGCTACATTAGAGACACAATCTGGCTAAAAACCGTAACAGGTTAAGTAGAAGAGTAGGTCTACTTAACGCTCTATGTAAAAAATTTGGACTGACACGTTCACGTACACTCATACATCAGGCCCTTGATTGAATATGGTACTAATATATATGCCATGCTCAATCATGACCTAACACAACAACTACTAGGACTGGAGAGGAACATTCCGCGTAAACTAAATTACAAACAATAAGACTATCCGTCCGCCCTCATAAATCAATTATCGAACATCCATCCCATAAATGAGAGGTTCTCCTTTCTGAGCAGTACTTACACGATTAAAACCATCAAAGTCCGAAACTTCACAGCCCAAACCCGATCAAAATTGCTTAAAAATGTATTCGTCAGCCATTCCAAATTTCCCAAACTCCCTGATGAATATATAGTGGTCCTGGAGGGAACTCCACTTCACTATCGCAATTAGATAAATATCTCACTTCGAATTCTACACACGGACTGGAAGGGATTGATTTTCTGTGGTTTTCCGATTCCATTGCACAATTATTCCTGTTTTTAGACACAATGCAGACACAGCTGCCCTCAGTGCAACATCAATTCACACTATACTATTTATACATTTAAATTCAGACATATCCTTCATAACTATTAACAAAAAATTATTTCTGAAAAGTAATCTATCAAAAGTAGTTAACCTAACCTAAAAAATTCAATCGCGAAAACTGACTCATTTCTGATACCACTCTTTTAACCACAACCGTTTTCTTTTGTTGTTTTTCAGCTGGTCTATGATTATAACTGCCGCACTTCATTACTGCGAATGAATTCGTTTGAAGTCATTCATTCAGTTTTGCAGGTATTTTTGGGGATTCGTGGCGCGGCAATTATGTAAATTGAAAAAATGACATCGGATGAGGATATAAGTAATGCAAGCGCGTTGTATATTATTATAAGTAAGGCGGGAAGGACTTGGGAAGGAAAAACGGCAAAAACGGCGCTGGTAGTCAACATCGTTGGACAAAAGCAGAAGTCGGTATACAGGGATGGACTTGTTTAATGATCTAAAAGCTGAAATGGAATACGGGCTTTTTCAACCTTTTTGTAGAATGAAGTCTACTGAATATGAATGGTTATTAAATGAAATTGGCCCATAGAGATAAGATTTTCACGGTTGCATGTGTATGCGACCAAATTGTTACTGACACCGTATTTTTTCATGAAACTTTACTAGGACAACTTAAATATATAAGACTATGTTTAACATTAGGTGTAATATGAGCTTGTAGTCTCTTATACATTATTAAGATACTAAACTGATGTATAAAAAGAACGGATAAATTTGGCACATTCTTTTTTTTGGTGTCAAAAATATTTCGACTTACCATTTTTCCATGGGGTACTAGGTCCAATTTTAACCGCTCTGCCAATTTTGGATAAGCAGGATATAACTGCAGCTGAATAAAATCATGACAGCCAGGGCACAAACCTTCGTAAAACAGTGTGAGGGTCAGATCATCATCCTGAAATAATAATTATGCACATTTTAAAAGTAACAAGTAAATATCTTTTAAATGTATTTCCCTCTATGTCCCGATTACTTTTTCCTTGGTTGACTCTGTAACCTCTCCAGGATGCGCATGTCGATGCCTGGTCTCAAAACATCCGCTGAACACGGTCCCAACTCAATTTAAGGTGGAATGTACATTCTTCTTCTTCTTGATGTGCCTATTCGTTACAAATGTTGGCGATCATCATGGCAAATTTTATTTTATCTGCAGCAGCTCCGAAAACCTGCACAGATGTTGTATTGAACCAGATTCTGAGGTTCGTTAACCAAGATGTTCTTCTTTCTGGAATCCGTTTTAACAAATATTTTCCTTGCAGAATGCTTGAAGGAGAGCATATCTGGATACATTTCGCAAAATATGTCCGAAGAACTGTAACTTTAGAGATTTGATGGCGGTCAGTACCTCTTGGTTCTTATTCATTCTTTTGAGGACCTTGTTTGTGACTCGGTCAGTCCACGGGATCTTAAGCATTTTCCAATATAGCCACATCTCAAATGCTTCCAGTTTTCTGCGCATATCTTCGTTCAAGGTCCACGATTCAATACAATAAAAAAAGACAGAGAAGACGTAGCATCGCAGCATTCTTACCTTTGTATTAAGAGAGAGGTTGTAACTCTTAAAGAAGGCCTCCATCCGATTGTACGTCTAGCTTTTCCGATGCGTGCTCTAATATCCTAGTTGGTGGTTCATTCTTCATTTATCATGACGTAGAGTTGATCTTCTGTTATCCTTTTCTTGCTAATTATCATAACCTTTGTCTTCTTAACGTTATATTTAGTCCATATTATTGACTATAATACGTAATTTGCATACATATCTGATGTTGTTTAGCTGGTAAGCATTTAGTAGAATTCCTTTTTCAGTTTCGTGCAAAGCCTCGTTTAAGTGTTCTTTCAGAATTCTTTAGTATTTGCGTCATAAATATAGATAATAAACTTTAAAAATTATCTTAATTAAATACAGCACTTATTCTTCCATATATTTTTTTATATGTACTGTATATAAGCAATATTTGTTTACGTATGGCAAGTATAGCAAATATAGATCAAAATTAGTAAGCTAAAACGCATAGTACGAGTAGGAAAACGAATCTAATATATATATATATATATATATAATATATATATATATATATATATATATATAGTCGATTGTATAACGTCTATATCGATTGTCCGACTCCCAAACGCCACTGTATTCTGTCTTGAGTTAGGTCTTCGTCCAGATTTCGAGCGCTAATTGCTTTCCTAACTCCCAGGTTGAAGCTCTGTGGTGGTCTTCCTCGTTTCCTCTTCTCTGGAGGTTGCCACATCATCGTTTTTTTAGGCAATCTTTCGTCCCCCATTCGGCTCACATGCCCAATACCATATGAGCTGTTTTCTCTAAATATCCTCAACTATAGTGCCCTCTATACTCATTTGTTGTTTAAATCACTTCATTCCGTATTCTGTCGGCTCTTAATATTCTCATCGATCTTCTGATGGCATCCCTTTCCGTGGCTTCGACCTTTTTCTCATATTTCCTCGGTTATTCTCCATGTCTCAGCTCTATAAAGTAGGCTAGTTTTAACCATTGTCTCATAGATGTTCCATATTCTTTTCTTTGATATTTCTTTACTCCATAGAACTCCGTTCAAATATGCTATAGCTCTTCGTGCTTGTACAATTCGATGTTCTATTTCTCGTTCGACTTTTCCACTACGGTCGAAGATGTCGCCCAGGTATTTATATTCGTCACATGGATTTATTTTTTGATTGTCATCGATATCGAGTTGTTCTGCTTCAGCTCCAATTGAGAGGTATTTTGTCTTTTCTAAATTGATATTTAATCCCCATTTCTGGTATTCTTCAATTAGTTTTCTAAGCATGTATTCCATGTCGTCTTTGTCATTTGAGATCACCACCTGATCATCTGCAAACTGTAAAGTATATATGCAGTCCTGATCGTTCAATTGTATACCCATTCCTTTGACTTTCCTTTTCCATTGTTTCAGAGCTGCAGAGATATAAATCTTAAACAGAGTCGGAGAGATACAACATTCTTGTCTGAGACCCTTAGTAACTGCAAATTTTTCAGCTAAGAGGTTTACGAATTTCATTTGGAGTTTGAACCATAATATAGATGTTTGATGTATGTTTGATGTGTCCAGGACTTCCCATAGTTTATTTAGCGGGACTGTGTCATATGCCTTCTCGAAATCTACAAAAGTCATATATGACTCTCTATTTGTCACAACTCTCTTTTCTATAATTTGTTTAAGACAAATTGTTCTTCGTCTTCAGACGACTGATAATCTTCCTCTATCAGGTCCCGTAGTATTCGACCGTATAGTCGACTCATTGAACTTGTGACCGATATCCCTCTATAGTTTTTACAATTTCTCCTGTCACCTTTTTTATATATTGGGGTCATATATGTTGTTTTCCTTTCATTTGGTGTTGGATGTCCATTAATATATTCGTTAAATATCACCGTGATCATTCTGTGTAATTTCTCTGAGCCATTCTTTATTAATTCCGTAGTTACTCCCTCTAGTCCACTTGCTTTCCCATTCTTCATCCCTGCTATAGCTTTTTGAGCTATGTCGATATCTATGGTAATATGCTCTCTCAGAATTTCGATTCTTGATGAATTCGTATCTTCTTTATATTCGTCTCTGTTCTAATTTAATAGATGTTTGTAATAATGTGTCCAATACTCGGGATTTATGGGATTTAGAATCACTTTCTCGTTAGTCGGCTTTTTAACAGAGTTTATAAACTTCCACGCCTTAGTGCATTGTTAATCAGTGCACATCTAAAATGTAAGTTAGAAAATAAGTAGCATTTTACAAGAATATCAAAAGAATAAATTTCGTTTTTAAAATTACCCACGAACATTTCTAGTCCAACAGTAGTTTTATGTATGAATTGCAACGAATGAAAAATTCTGATGTCATGAGCCCCATGGGTTAAAATTAAAAATAATTTATAGTATTGAATTAAACTTTACCTGTACACTAGATGATACGCAAGCTGACGCTAATGCAATCAGTGCTAGTTTTAATAAAAACATTTTAATAATAAAGTAACAACTTGCATAACGATTTTGTATTAGTATTTATAGCTGGTACTTCAAAGTTCCTACACTTACATATAATAGTTTTCAGAACACTGATAGTTTAATCTATAAAAATAATACTTGTGATATGTAATAATATTTCAATGAAATGTACTTAAATATATTTTTATCTTATTTTTCTGATAGTATCTATAGTTTTATTTATTATATATAGTTATATCTTGTACGGTCCTTTCATCCTCCACTCTATCTTGTACTTCAAGCAGCCGTAACTCAAGAAGGGGAACAAAAACTCTTCTGTTCAGATAGAAACAATACAAATAACAACAATACTGTGCATACATTAGAATATGTAGTTTTCTAAAACATCAAGTTCCTATAGTGAAGCCATTCGGTTTTTAGAGTTTTTAGAGTTTTTAGAATATTTAGAGATTTTAGAGTTTTTAGAGTTTTTAGAGTTTTTAGAGTTTTTAGAGTTTTTAGAGTTTTTAGAGTTTTAGAGTTTTTAGAGTTTTTAGAGTTTTTAGAGTTTTTAGAGTTTTTAGAGTTTTTAGAGTTTTTAGAGTTTTTTAGAGTTTTTAGAGTTTTTAGAGTTTTTAGAGTTTTTAGAGTTTTTAGAGTTTTTAGAGTTTTTAGAGTTTTAGAGTTTTAGAGTAAAATTAAAAAAAAAGTTTTTTACTTTTATTGTCAATGGTATACGTTAAAACAAAAAATCTATAGGGGAAGGTGAGGTAAAATGGGATGGGCAAAACGGGATAGTGCCGCTAGAGGCCTACCATTAAAACATAATCTTAATACTTAAAACATTCGTCTAATCGTCCTTGGCTTGTAGTTCGAACGCGCCGTAGTTCAAACAACCGACCTCGTGCTCAGACCAAAATATGTGTTTTGACAGGTGCCTGATGTAATATTCGGGTCCCACGTTTTAAGCTGTAACTTTTGTTTTAAACAAGTTTTTGAACTAATTTTTGAACTCAAATGATGTATAGTGTCCTGCGCATAATGTTTTTTTTGTGTGGTGTTTGTATACTGCTATCTGGTCACAAATGACCAATTATCAGTTATTTTTTGACATAACATAATAACAGCAAATACTTAAATCTAAGGGCTTACCCTATGGCTTAGTCCTATTTTATTTATTAACTAATACACTACAACTAACAAGCAATAATTTCACAGCACTATACTCTGCTTTTTACACTAAACTGTTACACATTTACACTAGCTCAAATTGTTTTGTCCTTATGAGTATTAACCCCTATTCCGAAGTTCCTTACCTTCTCGTAAATCCACGAAGGCGAGCCAGCCCTCCAGACTAGTGGGACCAGTATTCCTTGAAGCCGCTCGCAGCGATAAGCATCCTTTAAGGTTCATTACCAGTATATTACAGTGGTAACAGCGTTGTACAGTGGTGAAGGTTTTCTCACCCTCTAGTTCCAGATGTTACAATAAGGGATATAACCTCCCGCTAGTTGTACAGTGGTGACAGCGGAGCCCCAGTAGTTGTACATTTGGCGACAGTGGTGTTCCCAGTACATTACACATATATGAAACAGCATTTGTGATCCCGAACTGGTTAGGGCAAATTTGACTATCACACAGTTTGTAGATTCTCTTATGAATCATCTTTAGGAACAATTTAAGAATATGACTCATGAGGCTTATAGTACGGTAATGTTCGCATTTTTTGGCTCCTGGTTTTTTTGGAAGTACAATAAACTCAAATTTCAGCCATTCTGTTAGTATTTCTTCAGAGTTGTATATGTTGTTAAATACCTTTGTGATTATTATTATTGATTCGTTGTCTATTAGTTTGCATTGCAAAAACTGCATACGTAAGCTAAACATTTTGACTTTAAAACGCATCTTGATTTTTGTCGATAGGACATTTGGATCAAAAGATATCGAATTTGTACCGTCCAGCTGATATAAACTTTAACATTGACTTCGAGCACGTAACAGTCATGAAAATTGATGGTCGCTTCAAGCGTTGTTTCTAAGAGAACGGTTTATTTTACCCAAAAAATGCTTATAAACATTTTTGTTTAAAATTATCTCAGCTACATTTTTTATTTGAAACATTTTTTTCTACGGTATCATCATCATCATCTTGGTGCTACAGCCCTTAGAGGGCATCGACCTTCTCAAGCTTTCTACGCCATTCTGTTCTGACCGTTGCTTGTATTTCCCAGTTTCCAGTTGCCGACTCCGATCTTCCCCACATCTTGTGTTACTCCATCCATACACCTCAGCTTTGGTCTACCCCGTCTTCTCATTCCCACGGGTTGCGCTGTTAGAATCTTTTTTATCATGTTTGATTCAGGAGTCCGGGCTACATTTCCTGCCCACTGCAGTCGGTTTCGCTTAATTATAATGGTAATATCTTTACCACCAAACGTATGCTTGTAGACATTCTGCATGTCAAAGTCATATCTACGCCTCCATATTCCGTTCTCACAGACCGCTCCAAATATCTTGTGTAGCACCTTTCTTTTAAAAATCTATTAGCAAATTCATCTGTTTTAGTTAGCATCCATGCCTCTGATCCATATGTGAAAACGGGGACTATCAGTGTTCTATACAGCCTTATACGAGTTTTTTGAGACAGCCGTCTGTTAGCTAAGTACTTTGATAGACCATGATAACACCTGTTTGCAATTATTATTTGCCTTTTTATTTCTTCAGATGTGTTATTATTGTCGTTAAACCGATGTCCCTAGATATATAAACTCTTTGACTGCTTCGAAGTTTTGGTTATTGATGATTAAATTTTCGTCAATATTTCCAGCTCTTATGTTTGTGTTAGTTGCCATGAATTTGGTTTTATTTTGATTTATATGTAACCACATTCGTTCTGCTGTTGCTACTAGCTTGGTTAGGATTTTTGCAGTTCTCGCCCTGGTTTTTGTTATAATGTCCACGCCGTCTGCACGACGTTTTCTATGGTGAACAGATGCTTAATAAATCGATTTTTTTTGCGTTTTTCACAGTTTGCGAGGGAGGTTTAGGGGGGAAGCCCGGAGGTAAATGTTTTTGCATTTTTTTGGGGTTCCATAATTAATATTTTCTGCAAAATTCAGCTTGTTCGTATGATTTTTAATGGTGAATTCTGTGACGACTGGATTATATCGCCGTATTTCACGTTTATTTACTGGCCTAGTTCACTTTTTCATAATCTTAGCATAAATCTGCATAATCACCTTGATAGACCACTAGATTAGAAAATACTCATTCTTGGTAAAAAGTCATTCGCTAATGTAAGTATCTAATTATAAACATACTTAAAATATATTTGAATGTTTGGTAACTGAAAAAGGAATTCGTTAATTAACTCAAAATATGAATCAAAACATTATTGTTGAATGTGAAAGTATATACTTAACGCCAAAAAAGAAAGGAATAAGGAAAATCCACATCCACCGACATTACTTCAAAGATAACGATAACCAGTTCCGAATTTTGATATACAAACAATATCAAAACCTCACATAAAAATAATGGTTTATGGGTTATTTATACTTCTAATACGTCAAAAAAACCGAGATTTTTTTATCAAAATCTTAAGATAAGACAGAATGTGTGTGCCGCAGTTATATTTGGAATATATACGACTCGATATTTAGATAAGTATATTTATCCGGTTCCTATAAATTTGGCTAGAAGTTAACGAACTAGAATTTTAGTTCACTTATTGTTCTTTCGTCTCTGATATGCGTTTAATTTTTAGTATAATTATGGCCCACAAGACTTTTAGGCCAGTCTGGTTATGCAAAAACCATCGATTTCACGGCAAATTTTTTCGCAGATATCTGAAGCTTTTAAGACAGAATAGATGAAAAAGTACTCGTATTTTTACTTCGCGTTTTTTAAACATTTATTTATGGTCAAAATTTGATTTTTTGTTTAATCACTAATTTATATATTTTATAAGTTTTTTTTATTAACAAAATAAAAATGTTGTTAATACATTTGAACATCGAGGAATTGCCATCTTTTTAATTTGTGCGAAATTTCCCAGCGATCGGTAAAATAGTTTAAATGTTATTTAATTTTTTTTTATTTTAACATATTATAATCCACATCAACCACGCAGGGTTATTAGTGGAGTAACATGCACAAGAATTCATTTTATTTACATTAAATAGATGTATATAAACGTAAATCTTTTAAATAGTTTATTACATGGTTAGTATTTATGGTTAAAGTGATTTTGATGTCATCTGAGATTCCATATTTTTTTCTTGTTTTGTACCCTCTTCGATGATAGTTGGGGGTTACACAAAGAACGGTACTAGGCTCGGGCTTCAGTCTGTAAGGTACTTGCTCGGGTTCTTATACACTCAAATATCAGGACAGTTAAAGAGTACGCAACCAGAGACAAAAATTAGAAGAGAAGAGAAGTTATTTGGGCACCACCCTATTTTTAGAGGAACAGGGAAACCTTAAGGCATATTAAAGAAGATAACGAGAAAGGTAAGATACAGTTAAAATACGCGAGAATGAAGTAAACCGTGAGAGAAAAGGTATCGTGATTATGCGGTACACAGTTAATATTTCGACACATATACAATAAATATACGATCAAACAAATAATAGTATAAATCAATAAAAAATGCCTGGAAGAGAAACACAAAAATATAAATTCATATTATATAAAAAAATAAAAAGCAAATAGTTCGTCAACAAAATTATATAAAGGTATAGTTGTTAATGTAAATGCACTATCACAATGTTTACAGAACAGTTAAATGGCATATTATCAGATATTGCACAATTTATTATACATATATATATATATATAATATATATATAATATATATAATAATTATATATAATAATATATATATGTATAATATACATTAATTATACGTATATATTATCCCGTAGGTATACTCATAATAGTTCGTTCTGTTAGAGTTAAAGTAAACATCCATAAATAGGTAAGGTACACTGAACTGGAGTCATAAATCAACTTCTAACAATTTAATTATCACAGTTGAGCTTTAGTCAATAAAAATTATACTCACACAACCAGTATAATACAGGTGGATGCAGATAATCGCCCTCAATAAAGGCACTTGACTTCGGTCCTTGCAACAGGTAGTCGGGACGACAGGCGCAACGATCACTTACGGTCTTCTAAACGTATAAGAAGTGCGAGGAACAAATATCGCAGTGGGTACCAGATAGGCACTTTCGGAGTACAGGTACTGATTCAAAGATGCAGGGACGTTAACTGCGACGTATACGCGTGCTTGATCGACTATGAAAAGGCATTTGAGAGAGTTCAACATCAAAAGATGATAAACATTTTAAAAGAGGCAGACCTGGATGACAAAGACCTCAGAATAATTTCAGAACTCTACTGGAATCAGACCGCATACATGAAAATTAACGGAGAAGAAACAGATCACATAAAAATACTACGTGGAGTTAGACAGGGATGTATTCTATCGCCGTTGATATTTAATATGTACTCAGAGAAAATTTTTAACGAGGCTCTTTACGGAATAGACGAAGGCATCCTTCTAAATGGTGAAAGAGTAAACACTGTTGGATATGCCGACGACACCAAGGTGATAGCAGATAGTTTAGAGGGACTTCAGAGGCTAATGGACAGAATAAACGAGTACAGTCAACAGTACAGACTAAACATTAATACCCACAAAACGAAACAAATGATTATCAGCAAGGAGAATATAAATGGAGCTCATCTATACATTAACGGGACGCAGATAGAGCGAGTAAAACAGTATTGTTACCTGGGAACTATTATTAACGAACAGTGGAGCAACTTACAGGAAATAAAGTGCCGCATAGGAAAGGCAAGAACGGTATTTAACAAAATGAGCGCCAGCTTTAAAAGTCACAACATATCCCTTGATACAAAAATGAGACATTGAGATGCTATGTTTTCTCTGTGTTGTTGTACGGAGCGGAGGCATGGACGCTTACAGACACCACTATTAAAAAACTTGAAGCATTTGAGATGTGGCACGAACAAGGAAGTTCTAGGAAAAATGAAGAAGGAACCAGAGATTGTGTTTACGATCAAACGCATAAAATTGCAATATCTGGGACACATTATGAGAAATCAGCACCGTTACTCCCTGCTACAGTCTATATTGCAAGGTAAAGTCAAGGTAAGCGAGGACCCGGTAGAAGAAGAATATCATGGCTGCGGAATTTAAGAACATGGTTTAAGAAAACCTCAACGGAGCTGTTTCGAGCCGCAGCGAGCAAGGTTATGATTGCCAATATGATTTCCAACATCCGAAACGGATAGGAACCAGAAGAAGAAGAAGAAACGTAATCCCTCAAATTGATTTAGGCCGATGAAAAGAGACAGCCAGACGGGAACAGTACAGGTAGTAATAAGTAGTCGAGATAAATGAAAGTATAAAAACACGTGGATATGACTAAAGGTAGAGATGAATGAATCGTAGAGGTGAATGAACGTAGCGGTGAAAGAATGAAGCGTTAGAAGAATCAACGGCAAACAAAAGTGACTTCGTTACTTCTAATTGGAAGACGTCGCCGTTTGATGAAGATAAACCGCTTGCCACAGGAACTAACTGGAAAATGACTTCGGATTCTGAACTTCGACGGGCTTAGACAAGCGATAGGTGAAACAGAGAGGGCATATTGGCTGAAGGGTGCCACGCGAAATTGATATTAAAAAGCCGGGCTACTGGGGTTCATTTTCGTAGCTTACCCTTTCTCTACCGATAGAAATTATCTTTCTCCGAAAAACAACTCTTCTGTTTTTCTGAAAAGGTAGAGCGGAGATTTCACAATAGGGCTTTTTTCCTTTGTTACTAGGAAAGATTTCTATTTAGCAAAGCTTGATAAGGAGAACGGGAAACATTTGTCGAAGCTATTTCTTTGTTAAAAAAGGGCGTAACCAATTGCTCGGTGTTATCCGGTTAGTTGTAATGCTTTTTTAAAGAAGAATATGTAGGCATAGACGGCGTGAAAATAATTCTCTAAAGGAAATAATTTAAAGAAATTATGAACATGCTTCAGTTTCTTCGTGGTACTGGCAGTCAATTATAATATGCTTCACCGTCAATGGGAGAGAACAGTTTCTGCAGGTTGGAGAAGATTCTTTGTTGATTAAGAATTTATGGGTCAGTGCAGTGTGTCCAATTCTTAGTCGGGTAATTATTACTTGGTTCCTTCTATTGGATGGTCTTCACAAGGGGATAAATCTCATATAGTTTGGTTCCTGAATCTTTCCAGTAGTCTTGCCATATATTCATACAGTGGTCTTTAATTAGGTTTTTGAGATCGGAGTATGGGTAATTTCTTGATTTGATTGTGTGTTGTTTGTGAGTTTAATTCGATTTGTGTTTTGCTAGGCTGTCACTTTCTCATTTTCAGCGATGCCTACATGCGACGGTACCCAGATAAATGCTACCTCTTTTCGATTTGATTGAATTATATTTATCTCATTTTTTATAGCCCGAAATATTGGATTTGGTAGGGTATATTTGTTTACACCTAATAGAGCATTTAATGAGTCGGTGATGATGACACATTCTATTCTCACTATGCGTTTTGAAGAAAATTAAGGCTTCCAAAATGGCTGTAGTCTCGCCAGTGAGGATGCAGCAGTTTGTAGGTATAGATATAGTGCGTTATTTAATTTATTTATCCCTGAGGCTAAATATTTAAACTATTGAACTTGCTCTATTCATGATGCTAGACACATTTAGCAAATTTCATAGGATTCAAGACTTAAACACTATCGCAGAAGTTAAATGCTTGTTTATAATTTCTTAAAAATTCTAAAATGTCTAATTCTTATGTGAAGGACACTAGCTCTTTTAACACAAAGTCTTTCTATTGTTTTCCTTCTTGAACTTAAAGCCAATCTGTCTTAAAACTCTCTAGAGACTTGTTCTGGAAATTTCAAATATATTTCTGTTTTTTTTTGTAGCACTGAATCTACAGAAACAGTTTCTTTCTTTTCGCGCATTTTATACATATATTATCTCACGGGTTTCAAATTTGCAACCTTAGGGAAGATGTAGTCTTTGGTTGTCGGCGAGATTTATATTGTGCGACATTTTGTTCACTTTGTCCACTTTTTTTTTGCTTTTTGCAAAATCTACTTTAGTTTTGTTTTACTAATACAAAGTGCATCACACACACGATTATGTACGGACTGAACTGGTCGCAAAGGGTCCCCGTTGGTTTTCTCAGCAGTAAAATAAGAAAGTACATTAAATATAACACGTCTCGGCATTTTGTCCTTTAATAAATAAATACACTACATTAAACTCTCTCTTAACGGATACCTCTTTTTACCGGCCACCTCTATACGGACGGTTTTTAAAACTAAAATCAGTCGGCGTATAGGAAACTGTATGTAAATTTTCGTTACTTTTTAAGATCTGTTACGTCTTGGTACTTTAAATATCAATAGCCGGTATGTTTGTCCTGTGGTTGAGAAATTGGCTCAAAAGGCGGATGAACCTTTTAGTGGTCAACGGCATAAGGATGTAGAAGGCAACGGAAAACCACTACATTAAAGATCGTCAGATTTCCCTAGCACAATATATTTTCTTTAATGGTAGGCATTAAACCAATTAGAACCTTATTGCTAGGTCCACAGAATCTTTGATCGAAGCATTTCGATCATTAAGGTCACCTGCACTGAGAATGGGATTAAAAATAAACGCACAGAAAACCAAGTATATGTATTGTACTAGATAAGGCAACTAGATACCTAGACTATTAATTGATGATCTGGAACTGAAAGGTGTGGACACCTTTGTCTACCTGGGCTCGCTGCTGACCAAACACAATAATGTCAACGAAGAGATTAAAAGAAGAATAGTGCTTGCCAATAAGTGCTATTATGGCTTGAGGAAACAGATGGCCCCAAAACTACCCAGCAAAATTAAAATTACCATATATAAAACACTAATAAGGCCAGTGTTAACATACGGGTCAGAAACGTGGTCACTTACACAGAACTACCAAGAATTGCTTAAACGTTTCGAGAGACAAATTCTAAGGAAAATGTATGGAGGAGTCCAAGAACAGGGTTTGTGGCGTAGGCACTACAACTTTGAGTTATACAGAAGTTTTGGAGAACCTGACGTTGTAAAATGTATTAAATTAGCACGCCTTGATGAATAGGACATGTATTAGGCGAGAGAAGATGCAGCGATCAGAAAAATTTCGACGAAGAGGACCAGTGGGAAGACGAGCCAGAGGAAGGCCAAAACTTATGTATCAAGATAACATAGAGGATGATCTAAAATCCATCTAAGTTAAAGCATGGAGAAGAGTTGCCAGAGTTTGACCAGGGGCGAATGGAAGATTGTTCTGAAGAAGGCTTTGGCTCATAACGAGCTGTATTGCCACTGATGATGATGATGAGTTGATGAGACATTAAAACTAAAATTAGAAAATGATTTAATTAAATCTAATAAACTTTTTCTTTAAGCTGTCCTTACCCGAGTATACTGTTTAAAATGCATTTAGTTTTTAAGGTATAAGTCCAGTTGAGTTAATTATATCACTGTAGAATTTTTGGAAATATATTAAGTTAAACAATAAGAGATACAGGTACTATTTTTTATATTATCTTTGGTTGGGAAGTTGATGACGAGTCAATTTGACTTGATTTAAATTCGTTTCCTTTGATGGTTAACAAACCATAATATTGAGTCATATTTTAATTTTGTCGAAATCAACAGCATGGTGCGTACATAAAATGTATTCGCTAGTATTAAAAGAGTAACGAGAGTTATATATTGTTTAGAATAAGGTGATTTTAGAGACTGCAGTGTCATAGCAAATATCTTCATGATGAAGTTTGTAGTTACACTTATTTTAATCATAAAATGCGTTTATGCACAAAATTTAAACACCAATAATGTAGTCGAATTGAAATTAAATAACACAAATTCAAATAATAGGTCATATTTTGGATATTCGTTACTTTTACAGAAAGGAAGTCCGTCTCAGTGAGTATATAGACAATTTTCAAGATATTTTTTTACGTGTACTATCGTTTATAGGTTTTTATGTAAATATATCGCTACTTCAATACAAAAGAGCAACAAATTAAAAGCACAGTTTTTACAGGGGAGCTATGCAAAGTTTTGACTTTTATGTTTGGTTCATTTCTCTTTTATTTTATATCATTTATGTGCAAGTTAAATATTGTTTTTTTTTTATTTTTTATTAACGCATTAACCACGCATAATAATAATAATAATAATCTCCACGCGACGTCCAGATGTGTACGAAAATTTTTGGGAGATACTCCAACATACCAAGTCACCTTGGGCTCGATAACACGGAAAGAGTCCCACCAGAGCTCAATCCTTTTGATACCGTAGGTATCTGGGATGAGTGAATTTTCCCCTTAGAGGGAGTGTGAGCCGTATGGCTAAATCTGGATAATAATAAGTATGTGTGTTAAAATGTACGTTTTAGATCTTTTGAAGAAGTTGACAGTCTTTAAGATAGGAAAATATTTTTCAGGATATCTGTATTTTCTTCTAGGGCATCTCTTAAGGAGTTGGGTATGCTATATTTGATTCGTTCACTGTTATATTTGGGACACTATATTAAAAAATGTTTTAGTGTTAGAACACTGTTGCACACTTCACATACTGGTTTATTTTTGCGCTGTAATAAATAGTCATGAGTAAGTCGTGGATGGCCGATACGGAGACCGGTAAGTATCACTTGCTCTCTTCTGTCTTTGATTCTTGGTTTCCAAAGATGTGGATGTTTGTTGACTTCGTATAACCTTGATGTAGTGTTATTCCAAGTTTGTTGCCATTTTTGAATTATTTATTGTTTTAAGTACGGTTTCAAATCGTTGTACCAATGTTACTTTCTTCGGACATCGGGTTAGTTGGTGCGTTTTTAGCCAGTTTCTCTACAGCTTCGTTACCTTCAATTCCTACATGAGAAGGTACCCATAAAAAGTGCACTTGGATGTTCTTATTTGAAATGTTTTTAAGTTCTTTTTTAATAAGAAGTAGAAGGGGGTTGTCACAGTACAATTAAGTCAGTGAGGATAATAAACTTAGAGAATCTGTAATTATTATACATTTTTGTTTGTTTTTGTTTTGTATTAACAATAGTGCTTTTAGAATTGCGAATAATTCAGCCGAAAAGATGGTTGTAATTGATGACAATTTGAAACTAACTGAGGAGTCTTCTAAATAAATCGCTGCTCCAACTCTGTCTTCATTTTTGACGCATTGGTGTATACGTTGTAGGTATTGCCATATCTGTTTAATAGTGTGTGAAACTTTTGTTTAATGACGGTTGATGATATCTCTGATTTTCTTAGGTTTGTTAGACTGATGTCGATAGCAAAAATAGATATTATCCATGGTGCAGGGTTGTGGATTGAAGAGGTATCATAGGTTTTTCGAAATTGAAAATTTAATTGGATAAGTATGATTGTATACGAAAGTAAAAAGGATAATCAATTTTATGTGTTTGTTGAAATTTATTTAACGAGGTTGTCTAAAGTTGGGCGATGTTTTCGGAAACCACATTGTTCTGGAATAATTAAGTTGTTTGATTCTAAATACCACATAAGCCTATTGTTTATTATCTTTTCTAATATTTTAACTATGCTACATGTGAGTGATATCGGTCGATATCTTTGTGGATCTGATTTTGGTTTAGTTGGTTTTACAATAGGTATTATGATTAAATTTTTCCATGATTTAGGAAATACGTTTCTGGATAGGATTATATTGTAGATTTTGAGTAGATGTTCTTTAGATTAAGGGATTACATTTTTAAGAAATATAAACGGTATATTGTCGGGTCCAGGAGACCAAGCTAATAAAGGTGCAGCATGAGCCTACCGTGGCCGGTAAGCATAATCGCCACCAGAGAGCATCTTCTACAGTCGAGAAGGAGAAGTTAGGCTTTAAGATTTTCAGCTCCACAACTGGCCCGGAAATCCTGGAACCTTAGAGAAAGCTTTTTGAGACTATCCTGACCTATACTGAAGGACACTTCAATCACAGGTTGGGGTCCCAAAGACAAAGTATTTATGAGCCCTATTTTGCCAGGACGTCGGCCCGTTTTCTTTTTTCCACACCTGTGTATCCGGGTACCCATACCAAGTTAACTCTATTGGTCAGCCCAATATTAAAGAGTGCTCTTTCACTCAACAAACAGCTTCGCATTGACTTTGGGCGCTTCTAAAGCCCTTAGCTCTGCTTGACTGTCATGGCAGATAGAGATGATCCTACCTGAGCAAGCCCTATCTATTACCTCCTAAGCACATACTAGGATCGCAAAGATCTCTGCCTAAAAGACAGATGTATGGGAGCCGAGAGCTTGACTAGATTCAAATCCGATTTTGCTACCATATACTCTAGTACAGATTCAATTATCACAAATATTGTTTTCCTTTGTTAAATAATCATATTTTGAAAGTTATTAATTTTTTAGGGTTATCGTTGGTGCACCTAAATATAGCAATGAAACTGGAGGAGCAATATTTGCTTGTGAGTTAATTCCGAACAAAGAATGTATTCAATATAATTATAACATCTGTAAGTATAACGATGATATTTACGATTCTATTATTAAAAGTTCTATAAAAACCTTAAAACCAAAACTATTATCTCAATGTAAAGTTGATATAGCCCAATGAAGTTTAGAAGCAAAAACCAGATTAATTCGTGGAACTTGCTTGTAAAGAATTGGCAAGTAGAACTGTTATATATACTATAAATATATATATATATAATATATATATATAATATATATATAGATATATATATATATATTTACTAAAACGGAAAAATAAGCAGGAAATTATATAGAGTATGCATCAAAGCAGTTTTTTTAATTATTACAAATGTAGCTTATGCTAGAAAGCTCAGTATACTACTCCGTTCAAGGTTTTAAGAAGGTTTTCTTCCAACTTAACTTTATGGAGCTATTTACTGAAACCTAACGCAGAAAACTATATGCCCTTGAAACATTGTAACGTTATAAACGTCACATGTTTGTCATTTTTCTTTTATTAATTATTTTATTACAATTTCTTTTGGTTTTATCAATTTTTAAATTGTATCTTTCGTTTTACTATTTTAATTTAAAAAATTGTTGGCGTCAAATCAATAAAACCTAGGCGTCAAACGTTTCCGATGGGTCGTGCAATAGTTACACATTGGCGCTCCAACGTGACTTGTAGTTTTGAGTTTCTTAATAGTATTATATTTATTAAAGGTAAATGTACCTTTACCGACCACTTAAGGTTTTTCTTTTAAGCAGATTCAATAATAAGAAAAATTCATATTTATTTTTTTTGAATAATTTTTAAAGATAAGTTTTAATCTTTTCCGATTCAGTAGTAATATAGAAAAATAATATAATACAAGTTAAATCTTTTTTTAATATTTCAGTAATTATGTACAATTTCATAAAATGCTCCCTCAGCGACCAGCTTGAAATATACTTCTTATCACCGACCGATTTTGCTGCTATTACCGACCACAAGCACCTAATTACGGACATTTTAGTCCTTCAGCGACCTTCTGGGGGACTACTTATTTAAGTAATTAACAACATAATATTAACTTATTTATTAAAAAATAATCTATCTACTGGCTCAATTGAAAAAAAAAACTCAGTATTAAAGATTTTAATATTTTTAAAATCGTAATACAACAAAACGTTACATAATATATTGGGCATGTATAATAGACTAAACTTTGGTATGAAATCATATTATTTTTTTTTATTATAGTTTTTATGGCATCCATCTCCGGAATTGCATATATGCCCCTTTGTTCACGGGTTTTGGAGGATTAAATTTTTGAAAACATATTCATATTTCTGATATGATAAAATATCCTCTTTTTCAGCCAATTCCAATGTGAACCACTTTTATCATAGTCTTCACTCTTAATCCCGTACCGTCAAAGCCAGACACTCCAGGAAAGTACTCTCCTTCATAAATAATCACAGCATATTCCCCTTCAGAAATATTAAATTTATTTTTTGTTATCTTTTTACTAGGAAGAATATTATCTTGTTTCACCACCTTTTTTGGTTTCTTTTTATTTGTATTTGATTTTTAAAATAATCTTTCTTTTCTTATTCTCCATAATTTTTCTTCTATCATCGATTTTCCGTGGTATTCTACAAATTCTTCCGATGTGGCGACTATAGGAGTAATTTTTTCTAACTACCTTTTTATTTTACTTATTTCAGACATATCTCAAAGATTTTCTTGAATCTGAAAAGAAAACGTTCATAATCTTCTCGGTCGGTAATAGGTCGCATTATATATTTCTTGCACTCTATACGACCGTGAAAAAAAATATTATTTTAGGAGACTACTTTTGAATACGTTAAAATTCATATATTTCCATTGAACCTAAGAAAACATGAATGTACCATGAATATGATATCGTTTTTTTTTTCGTTTAAAAGCAGACTTTTGAAATATGACCACTTAAGAAGTATAAGTTATCATATTAGAAAGTAATTCTATCAAAAATATACATTTTTTCAAACATTCATATTACTTCTTTTAATTGAAAATTAAAAACTAGTCGTGTCGGTAAATGCTCAAAGTGAAGCCGTTTGCTTTATTAACCTTTAAGAAAAAAAATATATTATTCATAATTGGTGGTGCTAAAGTATAGTAATTTTTTTTTCAATATTCAATGACTACATATCCCTTATTCCTACCGCCCGTCGTAAAAGGTTCATGATGTAAGACATTTTAAAGCACCTTTACCGAGACCATTCCTTAATCGTAAATAAATTTTATTAGAGTTAATAATTAACCAACCCCCCCCCGGAACTACATTAAATCATTAAAAAAAAGCGTCTTTTGTGCTATTTTTCTACTATAAAAGGGCAATACTATACAGATTTTTGGAATATAACACTTAATATAATTGTTCTAATTTGGAAAGTAATTTTTCCCAAAAAAATACAATTTTTTGTTCACTTTCATATTACTTTTTTTAATTGAATAATTACAAACTAGTCGGGTCGGTTAAAGTGCTCAAGTGAAATCGGTTGGTTTATTACCTTTAAAAAAAAAATATTTTATAATTAATTGTGAGGCTAAAATATTTATTTAAATCTACAAATATTCAAGGACTACATTTCCCTTAATTCCGCCCGCTCGGTCGTTAAAGAGTATCAGTTTTAAAGTTTTGAAGCTCCTTTACCGACCATTCTATAATTAGTAAATAAAAATTTAATTGAGAAAATAATTAACCTACCAATACAATAAATCTTTAAAAAAAATATGTTTGTGTCATTTCTTGTTATAAAAGTGCAATACTAACCTTGATATATTTAACAAATGCTTAATTATTCTAACACACGTGCACAACGATTCTTAAACCTGCCTACGGAGTCGTGCAACACCACTGCGAAATCCGTTAAAATTTGTCAAATTTGGCGTTTAGTTAGAGAGCGGCTTATGTTTATAATGTTGCCATATCACGGTTATAAAAAGGAAACTGTTAAAAGTTTCAGTAGGGTTGTAGGACTTTTAAAATGCCCGTCAAATACTGTAAAAAAGTTCATTGCGAGTCGGTGATAGGAAATGGTCAGTAAAGAGTACATTTACCTTAAGTATATTACCATTTTATTTATTATTTTGTTCAATTTCTATAGTCAAATTTTATTTTGGATGGCAACTGTTGAAAATATCTAAAATTTCGGTTGTTTTATTTGTTGGAATAGCACAGATACAGTCATCGATATAGCGGTAGAAGAATGGTACATTAAAATCTAAATGACTCATGACAGATTCTTCTAAGTCTTCCAGATTTCACTATAGAAATTGAACAAAATAATAAAGTAAACTTTCTGGATATCACCTTACCTCGCATTAACAAAACAGTTAAAACCATGTGGTTTACAAAAGGAACATGGTCTTCACGATATCTTAACTACAATTCTCATCATCCATTTTCCCATAAGAAGTCTGTAATTATGTCTCGCTGATAAATATATAAAACTAACAGATCCAGAATACAGACCAACTGTAATAAAAAAAGCAAAAAATGCCCTTCTAAAGAATGTATATCCCGAACATCTAATCGAAACTATTTTCAAATCAAGACTCAATAAATTTTATAACAATACAACTAACAACAAACCCAACAGTATCAAAACCACTTATACAACTCTTTCATATATAAAAGATTTTTCCGAACAACTAACAAATATTTTAGCCAAACATAATATAACAGTGGCCCACAAAGACAACGACCTCTTAAATAAATATTTCACAAAATCACAAACTACAAAACTTAAAAAATCACATGTTGTTTACGAGATACCATGTACTAACTGTGAAGGTGTCTATATCGGTCAAACCAGTCAACTGCTTCCATCCAGAATTCGTTCTCCCAAATATGACAAGAACAACGTCACTGCGCTCACAAAACATGAAACCGGGAAGAAGCATAAATTTGATTTTGAAAACATCAAAATTTTGAAAACAAAAAGAAGAGGGAGATATACGAATCAATAAAAATAAAAAGAAACACCAACACAATAAATGACAAAAAAGATACACAAAACCTAAATAAAATATATTTCAATCTGATTTAAACAACAATAATATAACATCATAAAAAGCTCTTAAAGTCATAACATATCTCCACCTTACCTTTTTCGAAAACATAAACGATACGTCCATATAAAAATAATTATATACTAATGGCAGTAAACAATGAGATATCAGATATCAACTTTTATTTGTCAGTTCGTTAATGTCTGTGTCACGTTTTACGTTTTGGTAAGTCAAAATAAAGGTAAACGTAAGTTAAAATAAAACGATGTTTTTCTCGTAAACTCAATATTTCGCCATTTGGTTTATTGCTTTTTCAAGAGCGCACTAAAAAATTATTTATTGATAGAATAAAAAAAATAACATAACATAAAAGAACTTACAGATGTAATCGTTCAAACAGCGTAGCACAAACACAACATCTTGAGTGACAGACTAAAAATATTAAAACACAAACACATCTTCATGAGTGAAAAAATAAAATTCAACTAAAATATTGTAATACCTGATTTTGTTTAATTGTCCTACAATTTAATCAGTGACGTGCAGAAACTAATATATTTTATAAATAAAATAGATTTTAAGATGTTACAATAAATGGAACTAAGTCCGTTAGCGTCTGTTTTGTTGTTAATAGCATTATCTGTCCTGCTTATATTGCACATTTCGAGAAACAGCCTATTTTTGTAATTTGAGGCTGATTGTATTATTTTTATATTATCAAAATCAAATTTATGACCTGTCTTGATGGAATGTTCGACAACAGCGCATGTATTTTTTCTCCTTCTGCAATCTCTTCTGTGTTGAGTGACCCGTTGTTTCAACCATTGTCCGGTTTGACCAATGTAGCATCCCTGGCATCCTAAACATTGCAATTTGTAAATGACGTTACTATTGTACATGGTTGGTGTATGATCTTTGGTCTTAGAAAATAAGTTGTTGCATTTAAAATTGCTGTATTTACTAATTGTTGTATTGGTGTAGCTCTTAAATATTGATGTTAGTCGATTTGTTAGACCAGGGATATATGGTAGTTTTTTATATCTGGTTTCTTCGGGCGTTTGTCTATTTGTCCGTCATTTGCAGTAGTATTGAATATTAGTTGTTTTAGACTTAGGATAACCGTTGTTAAGAAATAAATCACACAATTTGGTCTTATTTTTATGTAAGAATTGTTCATCGCTGATGTGTTCTATCCTGTTTTTTATTGCAATCACAGTATTATACTTTTGACTTTTTGGGTGGTTGGAAGAGAAATTAAGAAATCTTTCAGATGCTGTAGGTTTTTGATACCAGTTTAGTATGATACGATTGTCAGATTGACGGATGACTTTAGTGTCTAGAAATGGTACACTATTTTCCTTCTCCATTTCAACAGTAAATTGTATGTATTTCAATGATGATCAAGTACAGCACGCCAAGATGATGCAAATACTAGAAAAAGCAGGAATTAACAACCAAGATCTAAATATAATTAGAAATTTTTACTGGAATCCGACAGCAAATCTCAGAGTTGAAGGTGAACACACTGACTATGTTAAAATCATACGTGGAGTGTGGCAAGGCTCTATTTTGTCTCCTCTAATCTTCAATCTCTACTCTGAAAGAATATTTATCGAAGCTTTGCACGAAACTGAAATAGGTATTCTACTAAATAATTACCGACTAAACAACATGAGATATACAGATGACACCATAATATATGCGAACAACTTAGAAGAAGTAGTAGAAGTAGTAGAAAAGACCTACAAGTTCTTATGAACAAAATCACGAATTCCAGTCAACAATATGGACCCAATATAAACATTAAGAAGACAAAGAGACAAGTATATACAAAAAACTGAGTACTTAGTAGTAGTAGTTAGTTGTAGGAGAAAAACCAGAAAGCCTACAAATCGAAGTGGGAACTATAAAACCAACAGACAATTTTAAGTACTTGGGAGTCCAAATAACATCAAAAGCAGGAAGTAGCGAAGAAATACATTCCAGGATTGGCTAAGAAAGATCAGCCACCAGACAGCTACACGGACTATTACGGAATAAAAAAATAACAAAAGAAAATAAAAGAAGAATTTATAAAACAATAATAGAAAGTATTGTACTGTAGGCGCCGAACTCTGGGAAATAAACCAAAGAAACAAATCAAAAATTAAGGCCATGGAAATGAACTACTGGAGATTATGTTGCCAGCTAACTAGACTTAATAGGGTGAGAAACGAAGATATTCGGAGAGAAATGGAAATCGATCTAGACATAATAGACACAATCGAAGCCAAAAGACTCAACTTGTATGGACACCTTCAGAGAATGCCGGAAAACAGATGGCCAAAAAAAAAATAGAAGAATGGACTCCGCCAACTAGAAGAAAACGAGGTAGACCAAGACGATCCTGGAGATACGATGTCGATGATGCAATGACCGCCAGAGATATAACAACTGAAGAATGCTTCGACAGAAAACGCTGGAAATTAGGATGCGAGAAGCGGCGCCAGCTGTAGAAGACTCGCTTGTTATATATATAGAAGACAAAAAAGGTCAACTCTACGTCAACCAATCCCCTGTAGAAAAAGTGACGCACTACAACTACCTCAGCACCATAATAAATGAAGAATGGACCAACAACCAGGAGATTAGAATACGCATTGGAAAAGCTAGATCCACCTTCAATCGGATGGGGGCCTTCTTTAAGAGTCACAACTCTCTCTTGATACAAAAGTAAGAATGCTGCGATGCTACGTCTTCTTTTTCCTTTTTTGCAGTGTTGAATCGTTGACCTTGAATGAAGATACGTGCAGAAAACTGGAGGCACTTGAGATGTAGCTATATTGGAGAATACTTAAGATCCCGTAGACTGACCCAGTCACAAATGAGAAGGTCCTCAGAAGAATGAATAAGAACCGAGAGGTACTGACTACCATCAAATCTCGAGTTACAATTCTTCGGACATATTATGCAAAATGAATCCAGATATGCTGTCCTTCAAGCCATCCTGCAAGGAAAGATATTTGGAAAACCAGGTCCAGGAAGATGAAGAACATTTTAGTTAAAGAACCTCAGAATCTGGTTCAATACAACATCTGTGCAGCCTTTCCGCGCTACTGCAGATAAAATAAAGATTGCCATGATGATCGCCAATATTCGTAACGGATAGGTACATCTAGAAGAAGAAATACTTTGAGGTTTTTCACTGAGGATGATCCGATTCGATCGAAAACGTTCTGAAAATTTATAAATCCATTTTGGATAATTTTTAAAAATTGTTATAATAAAATTTTATACCATTTTACAAAAAGAAATTTTTATTTCAGTGTAAGTTTTTTTAGCTTTTATTACAATTTTTAACTTTATTGTAGCAAATTTTGGTAGTATGAATGGAAACTTCTTTGGACAGAGTCTAGATGGAGATGACTTGGTGGGGGGTTCATTTGTGGTAAGTAAATATTTACTTTAATATGTACATGTTTCTCTTTGGTTTATCATTCTAATTTTTTAAATATTTACCGCAGCGTTTCCATTTAGTATTACGAATGCGCTCTTCTTCTTCTTCTTCGCGTGCCATATCAGAATTATTCGACGTTGGCAATCACCACTGCGAAGGCTTCTCAATCTTCTGCAATATGGAATAATTGTCCTGCATTTGATATCTGAGTCCATTCACGACTGTTTTTTAACCAAGAAATTTGTTTTCTTCCTACACCTCTACGGCCCTCTATTTTGCCTTTAAGGATCAGTTGTAATATTTTATATCGATTTCCCCTTACTATATGTCTCAGATAAGACATGTTTCGATGTTTAACAGTCTTTAGCAGTTCTCTATGTTTGTTGGCGATCCTTCGTACTTCTTTATTAGTTTTGCTTGTTGTCTAAGGTATCTTTAGCATTTGTCTATGAACCCACATTTCCAATGCTTCAATTTTGTTCATGATCGATACTTTTAGCGTCCATACTTCTGCACTATACTAAAGTACGGACCAAACATAGCACTCAACCATTTTTTGTCTTAGTTCAAAACTGAAATGAGGATTGCAAAGAAATGACTTTATTTTCAATAAAAGTAGTTTTACTCATTGCTATTCTACGTTTTATTTCTATGTATGGATCTAGTTGGTCCGTTATCACAGTTCCCAAATATGTTATTTTGTGAACTCTCCCAACTTGGACTCCGTTCAATTGAAGCTTTGCATCGGATATGGGTTACGACTAAACACTACAAATTTGTTTTTTTTTAAGTTTATTTTATTGCCCATTTCCTCTCCTACCTCGTGAATACGATCAAGCAGAATTTGGAGACCTTCAATATTATTTGACAGAATTACTGTATCCTCTGCCTATCTAATCACATTAAGTAGTTCCCTGTTGATTTTTATTCCATATAGTCGTCTCTCAAGTGCCTTTCTAAGGCCCAGCGCAAATTGAGCACAGCCCACGCACATCCCACGCGCAGCACACGAATAGTCCAACCTAGTCAAAGTACACGTTTTCAATACTAACGCATATTGAACACAGCCTACGCCCATGTCAAATATTGTGTAGAATATGTTCTGTCATAAATAGGAAAAACCAATTAGAGTGTGTTGATTCTAACAATTTCTAATCTGAAAATATAAATACTTGAAACTTTCACAAATGCTCAGGGTAAAAAATTGAAATCTTTCAACAATAGACTATAGATATAATTTGAATAAGCTGCTTTTGCCGATTTGACTTTCTTATTACTAATTAGCATAATAAGCAGATATTTTACATGGTAAAACAATTTTAACAATTCTGTTAAAGATTAGATTTTTGTTTCATTGAAAACTGAACCTGATATTAATTTCTTGAGAACTTTTACATATGATAAGGGTAATAAATTGAAATCCTTCAACAAAAGACTATAACAGGTAGATTCCCATAATTTGAATAAGCTGGTTTTGCCGATATTGACTTTCTAATTACTAATTAGCATAACAGGCAGATATTGTAACTGGCCACAATGCCGTTGAATATTCCGACTTTCATTTCGCTTGTTTTGAAAACTCCATCGGATATTAATTTCTTGGAAACTTTTACAATGCTGAGGGTACTAAGTTGGAATCCTCTAACAAAATACTATACAGAGTATTGTTGAAATAAGTGAAATAACGTAATAAACAACAGGAGAGCTAAAAAATACAACAATTCCAGATCGTATTTTGTTTTCGAGATAAATTTAAATTTGAGAATTTTTTATTATTTTTCTACTTTCTTCATGTTCTTTTTTAAATTAATTTCAGTGTAGAAAAGCCATTACAATATGAGCATCACGAAAAAGTACCATCAAATTTTATTTTGAAGTTTTCATCTTAGGTGTTCATAAACATTTTGCTAGGAAATGAAAATTTGTTTTTTTCCTTAGTTCTCAATTTGTTATATTTCTCATTTGATTTAATAAAAAATTAATTGAAATTAATTTTTTTTTGAATAATTACAACGGCGACTTACATCCGAGTCGCTTAGCACAAATAAAGAAAATATTAGTTTTGTTCTCATGTAATCTTCATAACTAGTATCATACAAGACACTAAAGCTTCGAACAATTTCAATAAAGTTTTCCATTTTCACTGAATAACAAAAAATTGGTCACACAAAACAAAATAACTAAGGTTAGGTAGATAACCACGACCCACGAAACTGTGTTGCTAGCACAACTCTATCCACGCCAACCAAGTCTGGCAGTAGCCTGGCCGTGGTTTGGATTTAATATGCGTCGCTCCGTCTAAAACCACGTTTTACAAAATAACCCACGCGTGGGCTGCGCGTGGGCTGTGCTCAATTTGCGGCGAGCCTAAATAACTGGTCCGAGTAAACATTAAACAATGTTGGCGACAAAATGCAACTTTGTCTGACTAATCGTTGTAAGGAGATTTCTTCGGTGTAGCTATCTCAAATTTTTACGATAGCAGCTTGATTCCAGTACAAATTTTTAATGACACGACTATTCTTGCCATCTATTGCGATATTTTTCAGTATTTGTATTAATTTTACATGCTGTACTTTATCGAATGCTTTTTCGAAGTCCACGAAACATGCAAATACATCTTTTCTGTGGTCACGGCATTTTTGTAATAGGATGTTAAGCGCAAAAACTGCCTCCATGGTTCCCATAGCATTTCTAAAAAGGAACATTTTGAGTGTGGCTCATTAGGCTAATTAATCGATATTCTGAGCATTTTTTCGTATTGTGTTTTTTAGGTATTGCGACAAAGATGGATTTGAGCCAATTTGTGGGAATCACTCCGGTGTTATATATTGAATTAAAAAGTCTTACTACTACTTTTATGTCATCATCCTCTATTAGTTCCAGCAACTAAGTTGGTGTATCATCTGGATCACAAGAGTTTCTAATTTTAGGATTACTTATAGCTTGTTCTACCTCGCATTTCATAATTTCTGGGCCGTCAGTACAGTTTGGGTAGCATTCGGCAATATTATTTCTGTCATCTTCAAACAACTCTGATATATACAGCTGCCATTCTTTTCTTATTTCGTGCTCATTGACAAAAATTTTATTTATTAATAATATTGTCAACGAGTATAGAGGGAACGCGTTTATAAATATGTTACTCATTTCTTTTAGTTTATTGTGCACATTTAATAAGTCGTGTTTAGATATTACATTCTCCATTTCGACGCACCTTTATTTTATCCATTTTTCTTTGGCTAATTTGATCTCCTTTTTTATTCTTCTCTAATCTATAATCATTCTAAAATCATTATTTGTGGAGATTTCGGTAACTTGGTTTATAAATTCAATCCATAGTTCTTCTGGATCTTCTAGTTGTTCTCCGATGTTTTTTATTTTATTGTTAAATTCTTTTTTAATGTTATGTTTTATGTTTATATCATCAAAGTAAAGTACATTGGTTTTTGGTTTTTGTCACTAAATTATATATACTATCTCCACTGTTATTTAATTTATATTCAGATAGAATATTTAAAGAAGCGCTGCATAATTTGGAATGGGGCGTGAAAGTTAATGGAATTCTGATAAATACAATCAGATATGCAGACGATACAGTTATTTTAAGTGATGACATGAATGGATTACAATGCTTTTTAAATGCCAATGATAAAGTGGGAAGAGAGTTTGGCCTAAACATAAACTGTTCAAAAATAAAACAGATGGTGTTTAGCCGTTTAGCACATCAAGATGCACGATTATATGTTGATGGTCATATAATTCAAAGTGTGCCTAGTTTTAAATATCTTGGTTGCCATATTACCGAACAACTAGATCCAGATCAAGAGATAAAATGTAGAATCGAGATAGCCCGCACGACATTTTAAAAATGAGGTCATTTTTCTGTAATGATAACTTGCAACTTCAACTTCGAAAGCGCATTGTTAAATGCTACATTTGGTCAGTCCTCTTATACGGTGTCGAAGCATGGACAGTAAAAATATCCACGATTAATCGTCTGGAGGACTTTGAGATGTGGCTGCACAGACGTATACTAAAAATTCCATGGACGGCTATGCTGACAAATGTGCCAGTCCTTGAAAGAGCAAATGCTGCTCGCGAGCTGCTTGATAACATCAAATGTAAAAAGATGGCCTATTTTGGACACGTAGTAAGGGGAGACCGATATAATATTCTTCAACTTATTATAATGGGTAAAATCGAAGGACGCAGAGAATTGGTAGAAAGCAGGCCTCTTGGTTGAAGAATATCAGGGAGTGGACAGTAATAAGGAAAGCTGAGCAACTATTTAGAATAGCTCGAGACAGAGACAGTTTCGCCATGTTAATCGCCAACGTCAAAGAGACTTGACAGGGCACGTTAAGAAGAAGAAGTCACTGAATTCGTTTTAACCTTACTTTAATATCTGCTACAAGTGGTTGAGGATCAGGTCCAATATCTGCCCCAAGAAATGTAGTGATTTTTTTGTTTTTTAAGGACGGGAGAAAGGATCTAAAGATGACTACTGCATCGAAAGAAATCTGACTTAAGCTGTTATTTGAACGGTCGAAAATAATGCCAAGAGATTCGAAAAGCTCGATTAAGTATTATAGTTGTTACTAAATATGTGGACCTTAATAACGAAACATTAAAAAGGTTAAGCTCCCAAAAAGAAGATTGTATACATGGAAATCTCCCGGCGATACAACGAATAGAATAATCTGAAATCAAATTGACTTTGTCCTTATTAGACAAAGATTTCGTAATTCTATTAACGGGAGCCAAAAATTTACCCTGGAGCAGACATCGGTTCAGACCATAACCCCATAGTAGTCACATTACGAGTCAAATTAAAACTGGTTATAAAACCCACACAGAGTAGAATTGATATTAAGAGATTAAGGAAACCACAAACAAAGGAACAAACTGTAAAAACTCTTACTGAAAATCTACGTAATGCCCAAGAACTGAATAAATTTGAACTAATGTTTTATATTTTTCTTATGAACTTCAGCTTTTCCTGTATTTAACGGCCACTTTGTTATTTCCTTTTATAAGTTTTGCATAACATCTCCGAAGTAATTTGATCCTACTGACTGTGCCAATTATAAATGTTCTTTTGAAAAACACTTTTTTTAAAAAAGCAGAAATACTAGAAAAACTTTTATTTTTAGTTTTACGATTTAAAATAGACTACAACTATATCAGAGCGAAAAAAACTTGGTTTAGCAACGCTTTTCTATAATACATACAGCAGGCGCCAATCTATTATTGAATTTGCTTAATCGAATATACTGAATTCTAGCGGTTATTGTATTATAACTCGCGCTATGCATATAGAAATATTTTAACATTGTCGAGGTATTCTTCTTCTTACGGTGCCTTATCCTTAAGGACGTTAGCCATTACATTTGCCCATTTAATCTTATTCGAAGCAGCCCTGAATAGTTCTATGGAGGTCATGTTCGTCCATTGCCGTAAGTTTTTAACCAAGAGTTGTGTCTTCTTCCTGGTTTTTTTTGCTATTGACTTTGCCTTCGATTATAAGTTGGAGCAGTTCATACTTTTGATTTCTTATGATGTGACCAAATACGACAGGGTCATCTGCAAATGCGCACTCCGCAATCTGTATCATTTCCAGGTTTCCATGTCCAACAAATAATCTCGATGTTTCATTATTATAGTCTTTTTGAGTCAGAAGGTCTTCGAAATATTCTCTCCACCTGTTCATAATACTTTCGTTCTCGCAGAGGATGTGGCCATCTTTGTTTTTAATTTGTTTTGGTGTTTGTTGTCTGTTCTCTGTTCTTAGGCTTCTCAGAGTTTTGTAAAATAGTTTTTGGTTAGTGTGGTAGTCTTTCTCCAGCTTATTCCCAAAATACTCCCAGCTCTCCTTTTTTGCTTCAATCACCATATCTTTTTCTTTTGCCCTCTGTTGCTTATATTTTTGATAGCTTTCTGCATTCTGGTTCCCTAGATATTTTTTCCACGCTAGCTTCTTGGATTTGACCTCTTCTTTTATTTCATTACTCTACCAATTCGTACATTGTCTGTTTTTATTGGTTTTAGCTATTCCGCAGATTTGCTTGCCCCCATCTAGGAGAGATTCTTTAAGTTTTTGCCAAGTTTCTTTTAAGTCATGGTTCTGGTTTAAGTGCTTTTGTAGACTATTGTTCACATAGCTTTTGTATTTCTGTCTCTTTTTCTTGGTACCTTCTGCGTGCATTTTTGTTCCACACCGATACTAGTTCGGGATACTACCAGATAATGGTCGCTATATATTTCTGCTCCCCTTCTGACTCTGACATCTTTGATACACTGTCTTAAGGGTCTGTTTACCAATACATAGTCAATAATGGACTTTTATCATCTACTCTTGACGTCTCTGGTATATTTGTGCACATCTTTGTGTTGAAAAAAGAAATTCATAATTATCAGGTCATTCTCTCTACAAAAGTCTATAATTCGTTGACCATTATTGTTTCTTACTTGTTCTCCGTGTTGTCCTAGTACATCCGATGATTCTTGGTCTTTTACACCTATTCTACCATTGAGATCGCCAATTATTATTATGTTACCTTCTGCGCTATCTATGATTTCTGTCGCCTTTTCCCAAAAAATGTCCTTAGTGTTCGCTCTTTCAGTATCGTTTGGTCCATATATAACAAAGATGTTGACTAGTTTCTTCTCTTCGTTTGTCATTTTAATTTTTAGGATCCTTTCGGTAATACATTCTCAATCTTTAATGCTACTAGTCTAGTTTCTATTGATGAGACAACCAACTCCTTCACGTGCTCTTTCTGACGGGGGTGCTACACTAAGTATTAAAAAATGACCATTTTCCAGAAACTGTGTGCTCTTACCTTTTCTTTTGGTCTCTGTGATCCCTAGTATGTCTATTTTAGCCTTATTAAATTCTTCTACAAGTTCGAAAAAAGAAGTATCCCAAAAAGCAAAGATAGCTATCTACAACACAGTTTTTGTACCTATCTTAACATTTGGATGTGAAAGCTGGACGCTCACCACCAGACTAAAAAGTAAACTGCAAATATTGTTCTGAAGCTATTTTCTTGTGGCATTGTAAATTAATTACTATTTATAACTGGGAATAAGCCACAATTAAAGATAAAAATACGTTTATTGACGTTTCAATTTCCAATTCGGAAATCGTTCTCAAAATACAAATAGTAAATTTACTATTTGTATTTTGAGAACGATTTCCGAATTGAAAATTGAAACGTCAATAAACGTATTTTTATCTTTAATTGTGGCTTATTCCCAGTTATAAATAGTAATTAAACTGCAAAGTATATCAATGAAGTATCTAAGAAGAGTACTAGGGGTGACCAGAATGGACAGGATACGGAACAATGAAATAAGAGAACGCCTTAAAGTCCAGTCAATAGAGAAGAAAATCGAAGAAGCCCAACTGAGATGGTACGGCCACATGGTAAGGATGGATAAAAAAAGCCAAGTGAAACAAGCGTGGCAAGCGAGAAGAACCTTGAAAAGACCGAGGGGCAGACCCATGAAGACCTGGGACGATGAAATTGCCGCCATCCTAGACAGGAGAGGAGTCACCAAGGAGCAAGCGAAGATGTTGGCAAGCAACAAGAAGAATTGGAGGAAGTTTGTACATGAAAACTAAAAGAGACTTTACACCCAACACCTTAGGGTAGAAGGGTTATTGATAATATTGTTAGTCACATCATATAAATATATGATGTGACCAAAATATTGTGTTTTCCCTTCTTTTATTAGAAGCATAAGCTCTCTTTCCTTATTCATCCTCCGCAAGATTTCCGCATTTGTCGTATGGCTCATGTAGGATATTCTGAGCATTTTACGGTAACACCAGAGTTCGAATGCTGGGACTCTTTTTTGTGTTGCTTCTGTCATTGTCCAGGCTTCAACACCATAGAGCAAGGTGGAGAAAACATAGCACTTAAGTATTCTAGTTCTCAATGTCTAGTCGAGGTATTACAAAACAACATTTACAATAATATATTTTTCAAATAATGTTTTATTTTTTACTGTTATCTTTCGTTCGTATTTCAGACATGTGGGCCCAGATTCACAAACGATCAGTCTAACAGTCGTAGATTGCAAGGGATTTGTGTACGACACAATAATTCGTCTAGATTCTCTTCAGATCCTCTAAATATTGTTTTTAATAGATATTTTTCCCGGAGGAATCGTAAGTATATTTCAAAATTTTTATATCTGATATTCAAAATTAATATAAAAATCCTTTTTATCCAGCCTATAGTATAACCAATCCTCCCGACTAGCAATTGAAAAGAAGTTTAGAAGTTGAAATTCGTCTTAATCATTTATATACAAAACCCGTAATTGGAGTTAAAAATAAGCATTCATCTTTCGTCATTATTGTACATAAGTTACAACGGCTATGCATGGATAAGCAAGACAACATTATAGGAAGTGCTAGAACGTATCCAAAATGAAGCCGCTGTGTGGAATGAAGTATTATTAAAAGAGGAACTAAATCCAAAATACCTGACTTTACTTAAGATAATCAGTTTTATGTTAAGAATATAATCAATGAAATACGAGTAGCAAAACATACTAAACAAAGACTGATATTATGGGAGCCTCTTGTTTTTAGTTAACATCAAGAATAACAAAAAAGAATACCGTCAAAAAGCTAAAATTATGTAAATTAAAGAGGTTAACAAAGTAACTCATAAGGTACAAAGAATTTAAGTCAATGAAACTTACCAATATAATAAGAGAACCACTATCAGAAACAACACGAAAAAAAAAAAACAAAGCGTCGAGAATGCCATCAAATCATAAACAACCAAAAGTATAGAAAATGTTTGAAAACTAATTTTTTATTAAATAAAACAATATTCAAAGAACAATTCAACTCAAATAACAGCAGTATGCAGAAGCAACAAAAAATAAATATTAAAATTTAATGGGAAAATCCCAGTAGTTGGCTGTATATCAACGTTTAAAAAAATAAATGTTAAATCGAAAAATACACCAAATTGAATAAGTATGTGAAAGACCAGAAAATTTTACAAAGTTTAGAAACAAACTTTAAATGCTATTGCAAGGAAATAAATCGCAAGGAAAAATAAGACAATCATCAGGAAGAAAGTGGAAATCCCAAATATACAGGGTGTCTCAAAAAGGTATGTCATAAATTAAATCAATTTCGGAAACAAAAATAAATTAATTAAATTCAACTTACATTAGTACAAAAGTGTACACAAAAAAGTCATTTAAGACATTTATTTAGATGCAAGTAATTTTTTAAAGGTTAATGAAAAGGGGCGTAACTCAATAAAAACAGTTTAAAAAAAAAGATGAAATACAAATTTTTTAAAAAAATAATGTGTTCAACTAATGATGCCACAAAATTCATTTAATTTAAACGTACTTAAAAGTTTGGGGGATTTATTGCTACACACCCACTTAAAACTTTTCTGTGCGCTTAGCTTTTGTTCTTTATTATGAAAAAAGCTTTCAGAACAAGAAAGTAAAGGGTCCATTTTTATTACAAAATGTCAAGTAGTTTAAGAGATAATAAAAAAAAAACAATTTTTATTTTGTAACTTCAAAGGGCTGTCAATTTTTATGTGTACACTTTGACCTAAGGTAAGTTGGATTTAATCAATTTATTTTTGTCCCTGGAATGCGTGATTTAATTTATGATGTACCTTTTTGAAACACCCTGTATAAAACGAACATTTGTATGAGACTTGTAGTATAAAAGTAGTAGTGTAAAAGGGGGAACCATAACTAAAAAATATAAAGCAAAAAAAATGAAGCGCCATATAGCAGCCCAACAAAACTGATAACGAAAAAATCTATCTATGTCATAAATCAGCAATAAAATTGCAACAAGAGAACTTTAAGCTATAGTTTTATAGCTTAGATAGCAATAGAATTACCTCATCAAATTTATTAACATAAAAAAATTAAACAAAATAATTCTAACTATAATTTAACTTTTGAATTTTGGTTTTAAGCTAGTTACGCCCAGATTCAGCTTGGATTTGACATCTTCTACCAAAAAGTAAGTTTCATACCTTAGCTTATACGATTCTTAAAGCCTATTGACACGGTAAAAAGATTACTAAGAGGACCGAAATCTGCATGAAAAACAAATGGTAAAATTATGCTACGAATTTACCATATTCCAAAATTTTGCAAAAATATAATACCAGATAATAATTTCCAGAGAATATTTGAATTATCAATATTTTTATTTTACGATTTATTGTTTAAATTTTAGACAAGAAAAGGGAGAGGACGTGTAACCGTATCGCTTAAAGTGAAGCCAAACTGTCACCAGAGGAAGTGATCAGCGGCGTATTTTTGTATTTTTAAGGATTGATTAAGTCGTATTTAAAATGAAACATTTTTATACAAATATTTTTTAATCAAAATTAACGAAATTTATTTATTTATTTACTTATTTATAGAATTTTATGGAATATTTTATGGAATTTTAACCCTCAACGCACATCGCCACTGGCAAATTATCATGGTGTGTGAGTAAAATTATTAATTATATTACAATTACTGAAATAACTATGCATATTTAGCATTCTTATTTAGTAATTTGGATCTCAATATCCTTAAGAATCCTTAAAATACTAATTTAAATTGGTTGTGAGGTTTAAAATTGAAATAAAAAGTAAAATCACTTAATACCTAATTTCACTATTATAAATATTTACCCATGAAACAATATACCTGGTGTTTTCTGCTCGCTGCAATTTTTACAAAGAATATATGCACAATTCACCATTTTGTTAAGTAAAAAAATAGGTATTTAATTAACTTTTTTTAAAAAACCACAAAAATAAAACTGGTGTCAGGTCTATTGTTGGCCACCAAAAAATGGAGCACACATCAAACAGTGGCATCACTTTTTGAAGGTTTGTTGAACTAGCGTTACCCGTCGTCTCTCTTTCCTTGTCCAAGGTTTAAATAGCAATAACCTTAATGTAGGTTAACAGGTTTAACACTGACAGGTTTGACTGTGAGATCTGTGTTACACAGTCTACATATAGTAATTATTTTAATTTCATATTTCATCAGCTGGCTGTTATTAGGCTGTCTATATTAGTGGTCAGTTGGATTTTTGGTCAAGGTTCAGTTTATTGTAGAATTGTGAAATATGCAAATCATAATGATTGTGAAGTTTACTATTTGATAACTGGAGAAGAAGCCACAATCTAATAGATAAAAAAACATTTATATACGTTTCAATATCCAATTCGAAACCGTTCTCAGAAATACAAGACATAAATGTGACGTTGTATATGCAGATGCACTTAACTTTTCCTAAGACCAAAGCCATTCGGTCTGAGGACACTAAAACAAGTGAGAATTGCAACTCTTTCTTTTGTCATTCATATGACCTTGACTAATTTATGGATTCAATTTAAGGACAAAGTTTAGCGTTTATCGTATGTCACTCAATATTGTACTGAAAAACATTGGTTTTAAATGGCTAAAGGATGATCCAAGACGAGGACTAATGGAACAGATATTGCTGTGAAGAGAGCAGAATCTTTGAGATTATATAAAATATAAACATGAAGAACTGTACAAGTTTGTTTGTGGATAAAACTTGATCCGCTTATCGATCTATATGCCGCTTATGGCAAGATGAGATTAAAATATGTGTAAAATCTATTAAACCTGATAGAAAACCGTAATATATTTATATTCACCATAATATATAACATGAAGGTGTTGAAATAATTTTTTTGTAGATTTTGGCAATTTTTGTTGTTGTACAAACACATAAAAAAAAAGAAAGGAATAACACCAGCTTTCCGAACAAATAACAACCTAGGCAAATATATTAAAAATAACAAGAGCCAAAATAAAAAACACTTAAATAGTCGTGTGTACAAACTTCAATGTGGCGACTGCCCAAAAATCTTACATCGGTCAAACTCCTAGAAACTTTGATAAACGAATAGCAGAACATAAAAGGGCTTTCAAGAATAGAAAAACAGATTCGACATACGCACTTCACCTTCTAGATCATAATCATTCTTTTAATGACAAATTTAAAATTCTTCACATTCAAAATAAAGGCCTTAAGCTATATTTGTTAGAACCTATGGAAATCAACAAATTAAAAAACACAGATATAATTCTGAATGACCAACTTGAGACAAACAGTTCTTCCCTCCTCAACCTATTTCATTAGAGACTATAAATTTGTAAACCCAAGCCAAAAATAGATCACTTGAGAAAGGCAATCAGCCGAAACAGCTGTAGTGATAAGATTTAAACTAAATTTTGTGGAAGTTTAAAAACAAAGTTTTCAGTGTTTTATTGTTACATAAAATGAATTTCCATCAAGTAACGTGTCGAATCCATCAAGTCTTTATTTGCTGCAGACATTATCAAACTTGTCAATAAAGCTTGTAGCTCATTTTTACTCATGTCAGAAATATTGGGACGACTGGCATATTTTTTAGATTGTCTTGTTATTTCAGTATTTGAGTCTAAACAGAGTACGACATAATATATATCCTCTAAAAAAAATGTAAGAAATATTCTTCAACTTTTGTGTAGTTTTTGGCATTTCCTTTGGGACCAGCTATAAAATGAATATTTCTAGCTGCCGTTCTTTTTGACATGAAGTATTTGTTTGACCACTTATGTCCGTTTTTACCTTTCAGAGCCTTTCCCGGATTTACAATAAACTGAGAAACAGTGGAGTTCTCACCTGATGTTCCAGGTACTTCTTCTGTAGATTTTTCGCTTTCCACCACTATTGCTTAAATATCTGCATCCATTAAATTTACAGATGAACTGGATATACTGGATGGCTGGAAAATTTTGGAATTACCAGTATTTTTAGAGTCATCTTCTTCATCTGAATCGTCCGATTCAAACTCCAAAGCATCTTCTTCTAACTCCCAGTCACTTCCACTATCTTCAAAAGGTTCCTGCTCACTATCTTCACCATTCATTATACGCTGTATTTCATCGTTTATTTCACTTGCCGTTAAAGATTTTCATATGACATAGTGCTACAATTAAATAAAATAATATTTACTACAAATATAAAAAAGAATTAGATAATGACTTACCAAAAACGTCACCGGCGTCCAAATAAACTTGAGAGAAAAAAACTAACGTAGAAAGTGGACTTTCGTAAAATTGACGACGTGCCCTCAAAAAATCTAATACATAAATACAGTAGTGGAGAAACATACTCACCGCCTGTTAAGTCAAGATTAAAGAAACAGCTACTGAGAAGTGTATGGGCAGAGGTTACGCGACTGCACCCGAACTGCGACGAAAACCGAGGAGCGTCGTCAAATTTACGATAGTCCACCTTTCTAGGGTTAAGATAGTACGTCTGAGGTGGACATGAAAAATAGGGAAATACGTGCTTGGCGGAGAAATACAATGGGTAGGGACGACTTCAGAGAAATTCTTGAGGAGGCTACGGCCCACGCAGGGTTGTAAAGCCAAAAGTGCGAGCTCTGCCCAGAGCGATTGGGTAGAAGCCCTGAACGTAAAGTCAAATCTTTTCCGTCAAAGAATAATAATAAAATAAGTTCATACAGACCCATACGACCATATTGAAGTTTGAAATAAGTAAGCTACATATTGTGTTTAAAATATGAAAAACTGCGAGAACTCAAAAATAACATAATTAACGCAGCAACAGAATCACTTGGGAAAAGGAACGTAAAGAACACTAACATTTCAAAAAAGAAAACGCCATGGTTCAGAGAGAAAGTGAAGAAGAAAAGAAAGCCTTTTTAAAATACGGAACAATAAAAACACAACAGGCATACAACCACTATAAATGAATTAGAAATGAAAAGAATACGTTAGTTGGACAAATAAAAAGGGAACACTGGCAGAAGAAGAACAAACTAATAAAAATGAAACACATTCAGAAGGAAACGTAGACAAACTACTTTTAATCCATATTTGCTAAAGTTTATGATAATAAACCACCAACACCAGAGGTAACGACAAACCAAGAAATAAATATTAAAGAGGAAAAAGTAAAAGAAGCATTAAGGAAATTAAAACATAGAAAATCACCAGGTGGCGACAGAATACCGAACGAACTCCTAAGATCCCTCTAGGAATAATCAAAACGATCTAAAATATCTACCAAAACAATACAACAATAAAAGTAAAAGTAGAAAAAGAACTAACTGACCCTATTAAAGCTAGCAATGGGATAAGACAGGGAGATTCCCTGAGTCCTCAATTGTTTAACCTGATTATGGATGAAATAATAAAAAAAGTAAAACCTAAAGAAGGATAGGTAGGTATTTGAAAGAAAGGGAATATAACAAAGATATTTGAAATGAAGATTCAAGAATTTGGCACCCAACGAGATGAACTGACAGAAGAGTGGAGAAGGCGCCGTAATGGTGAATTTGACTCTATGGTACCGAAAACATCGTCAGACATATAAAAGCTAACCGGATAAGATAGGCAGATCATGTGATAAGATCAGATAAATGCAAAGTGCCAAAGATAGTGTGTTTTGGGAGACCAGACGGTAGAAGATCAGTAGGCCGTCCCAGAAAAATATAGTAGGATGATGTTCTACTGATTTATCTATGATTGGGGAACAACAATGGGAAATGGAAGCGCAATATCGTAAAAGATGGAGGGCTGTAGTGGATGCGGCCAGTCAAAACGAAGAAGAAAGAAGAATACCAAATGAAGCCTGGCACCTCTCAGAGTACAGATGAGTTACAAAGTATGCTGCACCAATTTAATGTTAATTTTCCCAAAAAAGACAAAATTCATGAAAAGTACTGAGGAGAATACTAGGAACTGTGAGGAAAAACGGAAGCTTTAAAATATGATACAACGACAAACTTTATCAACTTTATAAAGAAGCACCACTGTCAGACTTCATTAGAATACAAAAATTGCAATGGCCGGACATGTGATAAGAATGTGAGAGGATAGTCTACCAAAAAGAGCACTGAATGTTAGAATGCAGGAAAAGAGACCGGTTGGAAAGTCAAGAAAGCGCTGGAAAGACACAGTAAACAGCGACGCAGAAGTCCTTTTAGGAGTCCGTCTATGGAGAAGATCAGCCACAGACAAGTAAGGGTGGAGGCAAAAAATAAAGAAGGCCAGGATAAATTTGGTCTGTAGTGCCTTAGAAGGAAAAGAAGAGAATGGAACGACTATATAAGCCGAATGAGAACAAATAGAGTAGTAAAGACGGCAAGAGACGGTTCCCCAATACAAAGACGATCAACAGGAAGACCACGAAAACGATGGAACGACAACTTACTGGAGGCACATTAAAAAACAGACGTCTACAGAGGCATGTCTACATAAAAAGAATAAAAAGAAGAAGAAAAATTGTTTTTATCTTTTCCCAGTCGGAAAGCATGGACACGTATTTTGGTTAAAATAATAGATCTGCGGTAGTACGATACTCATCATTAGACTTCGGCAATATGCATATTGCATATTTTGCATATTGTGCATATTTTATGCAAATATTCATATTTTGGCATATTGTATAAAAGTTTGCATAAAGTGCATAAAAGTTCAGATTTTTATACTGTATTTGAAAAATTTTTAAACATACCAATTTATTTCAATTCTTGTATAAAATTTGTAGTCATTTTAATCAAGAAATGATCTAAATACGTAATCTCTACCAGTCTTATTAATAAAAATTGCTTAGTACGAAGTTAGTCTTGGACTAGTTAGTCCAGATTAAGCGAGTACTAACTTCATTTTCAGAATGGTATTAATAAACATGGACTAAGCTCAGACTAACTAAACCTTCCTTAGTCCTAGGTACAACAAGTTTATGTTGGCAACCATTGCGAAAAAGAAGAAAAATGTAAAGAATTTTGTGAAAAAGAAGAAAAATATTTGAAAATTTGACAGTTAGCATAAGTTGGAGCACGTGGAGTTAATTTTAGTTGGACTGTGTTCTGAGAAAGTTTGTTTATATTTTATATTATTTTTTTTACCTGAAAAGTTTAAACTTTTTAACTTAAAATGACCGAACTAAAAGCAAAACGCATATCTATTATAAAAACTGCTGTAGCTTTTGAAAAGCGATATTTGCACTTAAATTCATTTTCTTTTAATTCTTCTAGAAGATTTTTTCTAATTTTATATATTTTATATATATTATGTCTTAGATGAATATTATTTCGCTGATTTCTATGGTCATTAAGTTGTTCTATTAATCTTAAGTCGTTGATAAAATAATCTTCCATTATTAAATAATGTATGAATAATCAAAAACAATTCAGGTTATGAATACCACAACAAATCTCAACTCAGTGTCAATTGTCAAGTTAGTCACTCTCTAAACCTGCCACTATCTCGGATTAAATGTTAGTCCGAGACTAGCCAAGGTTTAGCTTAGTCTGTCCTTAGTCGCTGTTTATTAATACGAAAAATGAATGTTATTGGTGTAGTCCTGGGACTAATGTTAGTCCAAGGTTAGTCTGTGTTTATTAATAAGAGAGTACAGGTACAAAACATTTACAATTTCAAAGAAGATCAATTTAAGTAGCCCTCAACATTCTTAGAAAGTCTCGGTCACTGAGGCATTCAGTTATTGGATAATCGCTAAGGGTTCGCTCATTTGCATTTTATGATCTAATCCCCAAATCTATCTACAATTTATTGTATCTTAACAGCAGGGTAAACGGCTAATAGTTTTGTTCCTAATTTAGGGATTTTCCAAAATCTCCTAGTTTATTGAATTAGGTACCTAAACATTTCTAATTTGATGCTCAGATTTGTAAATCATTTTTGTTTTGATATTCAAAGCGTAAACACTCGTTGTGCGTAACAAAAAGGAAGATTGTGATTTTATAATGCCTAAAACAACCAGTGCTTCAACTTGGATTAAACCTTATAAAGAGCTGTCTATGGATATGCGAAAAATCTACTGTTCAGTCTATGGCAAAATTGTAAGTATCTAATATTTTCTATTAAATATCTAATATTTCATACATACAGGGTGTTTCCAAATGAACACTTACAACGTTATGACTGTAGATACTTCTCGAAAAATTGAACAAAACGATATAGTTAATGAGGGGTCAAACTTATTTACTTTTCGAGATACAGGGTGTTAAAATTAAAAAAAATTAAATTCTTTTAGTTAATAACAACAATAACTTTAAAACCAATAAACGTATTTACTTGAAATTTAGTACTCGTAGGTTCTTTTAAATGAAAAATAGCTTCCTTTAGTGAGAAAAAATTGTCCATGGTACAATACAATGGTGTGTATTTAGAAAAATTTTTCACCTTTACTTTTTTTTATGAAGTCAGCCATTCTAAAACACAATTGTTTTTATTGTAATTGAATTAACAAAAAAAAATGTACTAAAGGTTAGTAACAAAAACTAATTTGTGGATTAATACTGCATTTAAAACACTTAGCGAGTGTTTTTTTTTTCCAAACCAGTTATTTGATTAACCAAAAACACCTTGTATATTTTTATATTTTAAAGGTTGGGTTAAAATAAAGGTTTTTATTTTATTTATAGATAGCATGTGAGAAGAAATTTCAGATAGACCAACATGTGAGAACTGCTTCACACATTGCAAAAAAAGGAAAAATAGGAGGAAAACATCAAACTTCAATGGCTAAATGTTTCCAATCTACTTCAAAAAATTAGATGAGCAAGAAACTTATAATGAAGACTTGTGTCGCGCATTAGTGTCTGCAAACATACCGCTTTCAAAAATTAGCAAATGTAAATTTTAGTTCGTTTCTAAAAAAATATTGCAAACTTAATGTTCCAAGTGATCGGTCTCGAAGAAGAAATAATGTGAACGGGCTATACTCGTCGGTGTTAATTAATATTAAGGAAGAAACTGCAGATAATTATTTTTACATATCTGTAGACGAAACCACTGATTCCTCAGGAAAGTATATTGCTCATTTATTGATCGGTGTTCTTAAAGAAGATACCTTACAAAAATCTCATCTTATTTCATGCCAGCAACTTGAGAAAACAAATGCTTTAACAATTTCGCGTTTTATACAAGAAAAATTAGCAACTTTTTTTCTTCCGACATCTATTCCTTCTAATAAATTACTGCTTATTTTTATCGGATGCTGCTCCTTATATGGTGAAAGCAGGACAAAATTTAAAAATATTTTTCCCAGATTTAATACATGTTACTTGTGTAGCGCGTGGATTAAACAGAGTTGCAGAGGAAATAAGAAAAAAGTCTCCTCTTGTAAATACCATGATATCCAGTGTCAAAAAAGTATTTCTTAAATCTCCTATAAGAATTCAACTTTATAAAGAAATGCTACCTAACATTCCTCTTCCACCACCAACCTATTTTAACGCGATGGGGAACATGGTTAGAAGCAGCTAATTTGTATGCAGATCATTTTGTTAAAATAAAGAACATAATTGATACGTTAACAGATGAAAGTTCCCAATCTCTTTTGGATTCTAAACAAACTTTTCAGAGTAACTTGCTTCAACAAGAACTTTCATTTATAAAATCAAATTTTAGTTTTGTTCAAAAAACAATTACTTAGTTAGAATCACCAAAAATGTCATTGTTCGAAAGTACAGCATTAATAAAAGAATTTGCGTCATGTTGTCGGAACGTTAGAGGTAATATTGGAAAAGATATTTTAAAAAAATTTGAAGCTACTATGGAAAAAAAATAAAGGCTACCATATTCTTTCTGAAGTAGTCAGTGTTCTAGCTGGAAATATTTCGGAAACAATTAATTTAGAACCAAATGTTTTGGTTAGTTTGAAAAATGCTCCCGTTACATCAGTTGATGTTGAACGAAGTTTTTCCATATATAAATATATGTACTCAGACAGAAGCCACAAGTTTTTGTTAGAAAATTTTGAACACCGCTTGGTCATTTATTGTTACCATAATTCTAAATAAGTTTATTCATACTTAAAAATGATGTAGTTACTTAAAATAAATGTAAATCTTAATGAATAGTAGTAAATATTTAGTTATGTACACTTTTTTTTTTAAATAAAATTGTTACTATTTTACGAATTTTTTTATTTATTTGTATGCATATTTTTGTAAAATATTTGCATATTTTCGGGTAAACACGTGCATATTTATGCGCATATTTTCTACATTTTTATTTGCATATTTGCCGAAGTCTACTCATCATATAAATGCCGATTTCTGTCCTTTAACTTAGTCGTTTAACAGTCTTGAACTATTAAATTTTAATTTTAATTTTTGTAATATACATGAGCTTAAAATATAAAAAAAATTTTTAGGGCAAAGAAACTATATTGGCTGGAGCTATAGGAGCTACTGGAAGAGTAAATGCGACTGGTATGTACCAAATTATTTTGATTCTTTATGTATATGTTAGCTCTTGCTGACCGCATAAAAAATATCGCACCTTGAAAACCATAGGGCAGTAACTGCAAAAATCATAATGTTGAGTTATGAGCCTTTCAATTTTTTTTTAAGTTAATACTAATTACTGTAATTCCAAAAATTAAGCTACAAACCTGGTATTTAGCATAATTGTCTTTAATTTTGCATATTTTTATATGTAGTAAGGAGTATGTGAAATTTCCTTCAGGAAATAGGTATTTTAGCACATACAGCCATATGATTTAAAAAAATATATTAATTTTGAAAATGATCCAGTAAAATTCATATTCAATAAAAGTTTTTTAATTTAGGATTGTACTTATTTATTAAAAATTTTTGGTTTTAACACTTAATCAAAGTCATGCATATTGTAATCTGTTTGTTCGGTTTCTCCTGTTCCATTGTTCACATGTAAATCTGCGTAAAACCTCATGGTAGTACTCTTGAATAACATTAGCCTTACATAGTGAGAGCAGATCTTGTTTTTTTAGAGTGGATATTCCTGGTGGATGCTAATATGCTTTACTTAGTTCCGTATCAGCGACCAACCCTCGTTGTCTTCGCCTTATATTACTGGTTCTGAGCTCTGTATCGTGGTAGCTTGTCTTAACCTGAAACTTAGTTTTAAGTGTCTTCTTCACCTTGATCATCTTAATATCATTCCAGACGACCTGATTTCCTTGATCGTCAATGTTATAATCGTTTCCCATTTCCTTACATAATTTTACATAAAGTAGAATATATCCGATGTAGACATTTGATTAATTTTGTAAGGTTCGCCTGATTTTTGGCTGTTTAAACTACTGTGACAAATTGCGAAGGCACATAAATTGTTCTTATTTTTAACGCCTTTTTTTTGGTTCTTAATCAAAGAATGCATGTTTCTACCTCATTTTGGGAGTGACCCGTTATCAAAAATTTGTAGGTAATTTTAAGTATGTTTAATTTCTGTATTGCATAGAGATAAAGACAGACAATATACTTATTCTTATTTTGCCCACTGCAGTTATCTGAATATAATATTATTTCCTGTTCCCTGGCA